ATTTTATACGAGGTACCGACATCTAAACCAACATCCCACAATAGAACTAATCTCTGGGTTAGACATGGGTTGGTGGATTTTATCTGAGGTACTGACATCTAAACCAACAGCACTTAATAGAACTAATCTCTAGGCTGTTGTACATTTGAGCCCAAGATAAAAGATACATAGACACATATTTTCGATTTTCGCTCACTATTGTAGATTCTATATACTTTAAATAAGGACAAAATAATCACCCGGGGCTGAACCCCCCTCCTCCCGCCTTAGCAACGACACTGCCCTACAATCAATAACCAACAGATGAGCTCCATTAGCGTCCTAACGTTCCGAATCTACATCCGACAATAAAACTTTATTAGTTAGCCCTGCATACACTGTAGGTTACAACCGGAAGTGGTGTTATGTTTATAGACTAGCGGGTTTATTTTCTTGTTTTTTACTTTTGCCGTTCCGGCCAGGAATTGCTCTAGCTATATACTATGTAATATTGTTTCTTTCTTTAATTTTTTTTAATGCTATGTTATTGTTATGTCTTTACTACTTAATTTATTTTTTCTTAAAAAGTTGATATTATGTTTTTTAAAAACCGGCCAATCTGAAAAAAAGGCCTCCGTGCCTACTGTTGTTACGGTTATTGAATAAATGAATAAATATAGTCTATCACCACACCATACTATTGAAGAATTGTAAAAAAAAATATGTTAATGTTAATGACTGCGTAAAAATACTTGCTACTTATTAGCACGCTTATATATATATATATATATATATATATATATATATATATATATATATATATATATATATATATATATATATATATATATATAAAGAGATAGAGAGAGAGGGAGAGAGAGAGAGAGAACTGATTATGATAACAATGATTAAAATAAAAATACGTGAATGTTCTAAACTTGATGATATACGACACAGTTTATCACCATGGAAACATACATTTAAAAACGCTTCTATTTTCCAGCTACATGTAGCCCAATCTGCCAGATTTTATTTATGTAATTTGATTCTAAAAATAGCCCACCAAGCAGATCTCTAGATGTTTGAGTGGCCAACCTGTCATATTAATTTGTTCTCCAGAAGGGAATGAAAGGCCGTGTGTGGGTCATGTGACATGTGTGGGTACAGAGAAAAATATGCCTGATTGGATGCCTTGACAGCTTAATAAAACCAGGGAATCTTTATCTCCACAATGTTGTTTTAATTTTTTTTATAAGGAAGTTAAGTGAAACGAACGTCATGACTTCAGTGAGAAGTATTGACGGGTGTGCTGACGATAATTTTACCCACAGGTCGATAGCCGATTGTAACCTATACAGATGATAATGTATTTTTTAACCATCTTTAATTACTAGAGGGCCGATTTGGCTAATCACGGAGGCACTTGCATCCGTTTTATATGCATCCAAGCACTAGCACCCACTTGATAATTCATTCAACGACTAGCACCCACTTTATAATTCATTAAACGACTAGCATTCTCTTTATATATCGAGCTATTGTAGGAAAAAAGCCTTATGGTTTAGTGCAAATATCAAGAATTGGATGATGGTTTTCAGAATACTGTTAAGCTGCATACCATTGTAAAGGTAAAAGTAATGCGTTTAAAGAAAATCATTGAAAACATATGTTATGATGGCATTTTTAATAGAAGATATACCTTCGTTTCTTGATACATGCTGTTTTTGATGTTGTTTTTTGGCTCAATGTTGTTTTCTGTTATACCTCAGTAGATGCAGTTAATTTATTTCAGACCTGCGTCACGCGACAATAAATACATGCCAGTAAAGCTGACCACCCTTCTTGTCAGATCTAACGGTCAGCTGGCCGGTCAAGCCCTCGCAGTGAAACGGCTCTGGTAAGATTATGTAGGTACCTGCGTCTCATTGGTTGTTTCCATCCGTCATTTTTCTTAACCTCACCCAAGACATGCTACAAATAACAACTACCGCACATTACACTATAGCGAGGACGCAGGGACAAAACCTTCACAGGCACAACATACAGACGGCAGCGATGACGAGACAATCTGGAACGATTCCATCTTTTTCATCGCCCTGTCAACCTGGGCACCCGCTCCTCCGTCAGACGTGAGCCGAGCCAATGAAATGCAATTACTTCCCCTGATTCGGGATTGTCGTCCCTGGCCCTGGCGCCATTAGTTCCGCTGGTGTTGACCGGGAAGGGCCACTTCCGGTTCGCCCCAATTATGTCACCAAGTTCAAGCAGATATGAACGGGCTGCGACCAGTGAGGACGCCATCAGCATAGGAAACGGCTTTGGCTTTTCAAATAACCATTAATATGTGTAATAAACGAGACATTTATTCAGACGTGGTTAGCTTTTACCAACACCAACCATAAATACTTGCTTATTCTAGGTAAAACGATAAATACATTATTTTTAAAACAATGAATTGATCGAAACAATGTTTTTATATTGCACTGATAAAATGGAAAGATGATTTCAGCACTAGTAGTTAAATTTACCAGATTTTGTTGTAGTCTACACAATAAGGTTCCAAGAAGAGTTCCATCCCCTGAGGAGAAAGGGCCCATATGGCTTTTTTTTTCTTTAACAATCAATAGTCATGTCAGGGAATAGGTAGCTTCTGAGATTGGTGTGGGGTGTCAAAGAGTTCCTCCCCATTTATATCTACTATTTCACGTAAATAAAAGCTCCCAATCTCGCCAAAATGGAAAGCAGTGGCGTAGCTAGGGGAGGGTGGGTGGGGTGGCCGCCTCTGGGGCCGACTCTAAGGGAGCGCCAAAAGAGTTGAAAATTAATTTTAAAAGCTATTTATTGAATTATACACAAAGTTACGGAAAAAAGAACTACAAACTACACAGCTTTGCCACTGGTTTAACTGTTTTCTAAATAGATTTTGTGGCACTGAAATATAAAATGTTACGGGATAGTAACTGGTAAGAAGCGCCTCAAATTTTCCAACTGGGGGGGAGGGGGCGCTTTTTCACAGACAGGAGTATATATATATATATATATATATATATATATATATATATATATATATATATATATATATATATATATATGGGAGGGTGGAGGCGCAAAATTGATAGTCCGCCCCGGGCGCCGGAATAGTTAGCTACGCCTCTGATGGAAAGCCGGGGGCACATTTTATTTTTTCCATTGACTTTCCGTAACTGGTTTTTATTTTGGTGTCACTCTATGTAGAAATCAGTCCGAAAAAAACAACAACCGTATAGCAGTCTATTGTCTTAACTGTGTGTATACGGTAGTTAATTAATGTAATGCAGCCCAGGGTGAGCTTTTTATTTTTTTTCTACCCCTAGGGTCAGCCCCAATACCCCAGCTTAGCCTCTGGGGAGGGGGGAGACGACACTGGGATAGCAGTTGTTTTCGACATCTGAAAACGGTAAAAAAATTCCCTGTTGGGCCACATGTAATGCATTGTTCCTTAAGTCGCGGATATTGGATCACTATCTACCAGTTGAATGTTCACGGGATGCTGTCCCGCGGCTATTGACATTCAAAGAAACAGCTCCGTGACGTACGCTTAAGTCTAGCATTACCACTTGAAATATGGTTGCGGGGAAAGGGTTCTAGGTAGTAACAATTGTAGGGGACATAATAGTTCAAACTTGTGAAATTAATTCTAGATTGTCTCCCTTTACTAAATAACGCAAAGAGCGACAAAAATTTTTTTTTTAAAAAAGCAAAAATTTTAAAATTTTCAGACGTAAGGAAAAAGGAAAAAAAGCCAAAAAAAAAAACTTAAAATGTTTCAATTTTTTAATAAAATACAACAATGACAGGAACATGAAATAATACAGGAGTTGACGGCAAAATGTTTTTGTGTTGGTCCAATACATTGCACTTCTAGGAACACAGCAAAAGTACAGGTTCATTCTTACAGTAGGTTGGTAATACAGCAGTGGGACTATTACACAGTTCAGTGTGTAAGTGTAAGCAGAGTTACACAGTTCTATGTGTAAGCACAGACACACAGTTCCTAAGACAAAACTCCAAATCCCGTTTAAATTTTTAACACTTTTAGAAACATAAACTCTTGCCCTAAGCCCAACACCCCATTCAAATAAAATCAGCTTGTAAGTAGCAGCAATCAGGCTACTCTGGGTAGAACTAACCAAAGGTAGCACTAACCAAAGGTAGCACTAACCAAAAGTAGCACTAAAGGTAGCACTAACCACAGGTAGCACTAACCAAAGGTAGCACTAAAGGTAGCACTAACCAAAGGTAGCACTAACCAAAGGTAGCACTAACCAAAGGTAGCACTAACCACAGGTAGCACTAACCACAGGTAGCACTAACCAAAGGTAGCACTAACCACAGGTAGCACTAACCAAAGGTAGCACTAACCAAAGGTAGCACTAACCAAAGGTAGCACTAAAGGTAGCACTAACCACAGGTAGCACTAACCAAAGGTAGCACTAAAGGTAGCACTAACCAAAGGTAGCACTAACCACAGGTAGCACTAACCACAGGTAGCACTAACCACAGGTAGCACTAACCAAAGGTAGCACTAACCAAAGGTAGCACTAACCACAGGTAGCACTAACCAAAGGTAGCACTAACCAAAGGTAGCACTAACCAAAGGTAGCACTAACCAAAGGTAGCACTAACCAAAGGTAGCATAAACTTTGAACACTAGGGTAGCATTCCCACAGCTACCTCACAGCTAGCGTCTATGAAAGGTCAAGGCTGCAGGATGTGAAGCTACGTAGCCATGGCAATAGTCAAAACATCAGCATTGTCATGTCAGTGGGCAGGTCGCTGGGTTAAACCTCTGGTTAAACTAGTTAGAGGTGGGCTGGTTGTTGGGTTTAACAAATAAGAGGTGGGGGTCAGGTGGGTGGTACCAACTTCCCGTAAAACAAGAAGGGACATAAGAATAGGAATACAATCAACAAGGGGGGGGGGGGGGGGGGTAACAAAGACTAAATGTCTTATAAGGTTGAACAAAAAAATTTAATTGGGATTTCATTGAGTAAGAATAATTAAAATAATAATTTGATTAACAATTTTAGGAGCTGACTTCCCTACAAACTATATGTATATGAAAATTCGGTAATGTATAGAATAAAAATCTTTAGAATATTTCTTGTATTTTAATAATTTTACAAGGAGAAATGCTTTAATGATTACTCGAGAACACACATCCAAATCATAAAATCAGTGAATTTTAAGTCCCAGTTATAATCTATGGAAATGTCAGGAGTATGACAGATGACATTAGATTACACCTGAAATGTCAAGCTTTATTATGCAACAAATGCTCCTTAAGAGCACATTTCTTATTACGTTATTATTTGTCAACAGTTTTCATAGCAACACCAAAAAATTGGTTCTATTAAAAAAAGTTGCATCTCAAGAAGAATCTAGAATTGAATTTACTTTGGCAATATTATTTTTTTTTTGCATAGCCAAAAATTTATAAGAATCAACAACAATCACAACAGTGTCTTCAATACAAGTACAGCAAATATGGTCTTAAGACAGGTACAGTAACCACAACAAAGTCTTCAATACAAGTACAGCAAATATGGTGTAAGACCATATTTGCTGTACTTGTAGGTAAAACAAAATCTTAAAGGCAGCAAAAAAAAAAAATAATAATAATGTACAATCAAAGGGAGATAACAATGAAAATGTTGGACCACCAGAGGGCTTGTAATTCCTAGCATGTGGTCAGACAAAACACTCATAGTTAGTAATACTGGACGCCCCAACCTAATTAGGAAAGTAGACCTTGTATAATGGTCAGGTTCAATGACATAAACATTTTTAATTCCTATAGCACACAAACTTAAGATTTCCAAAAGCACAGACTTAAGATTCCAATAGCACAAACAGGCTTTAGATTCCTGTAGCACTATTAGCACACAGACCAACTTTCAAGTGTCTTGTAACATGGACATCTATTTCCAACACTTGATTCTACCAAAGGCTGATGTGTCGGACCAGAGTTTAAAGGATGGCTTAATCTGTTACCTACGACAACCCTTAAGGTCAGTCTGACCTACAGCCAGCCCTTAAGGTCAGTCTGACCTGTTACAGCCAGTCCTTAAGGTCAGTCTGACCTGTTACAGCCAGCCCTTAAGGTCAGTCTGACCTACAGCCAGCCCTTAAGGTCAGTCTGACCTACAGCCAGCCCTTAAGGTCAGTCTGACTTACAGCCAGCCCTTGAGGTCAGTCTGACCATTGACCTGCTTGTGTTCCTCCATGTACTCCCTGACCAGACGCTTGGCCTCCTCTTTCCCTGCAAGTAGACAAGTGGCAGGCACTGCTTACAGGGACTTAGACAAGTGGCAAGCACTGCTTACAGGGACTTAGACAAGTGGCAGGCACTGCTTACAGGGACTTAGACTTAGACAAGTGGCAGGCACTGCTTACAGGGACCAAATGATGCCAGGTACTGATTTAAACTAAGTGGACTCATAAAGCAATGTCTAGCTCATGACAGTATGGGAAACATGGTTAGGACAGGATTCAGCTAAATTAGCTTTCATTAATTTTTTTGTTTTTGCAAATAAATCAGTAATGTTTGTTAAATCCACCATCTAAAGTGAGTGGTAGTTTAAAATTTATAACTGCTGAACAACTCACCATTTGTGGGAAGTCCCTTGGTTGTCTCAATGTTTGTTAAATCCACTATCTAAAGTGAGTGGTAGTTTAAAATTTGTAACTGCTGAGTAACTCACCATTTGTGGGAAGTCCTTTGGTTGTCTCAATATTTGTCAAATCCACTATATAAAGTGAGTGGTAGTTTAAAATTTGTAACTGCTGAGTAACTCACCATTTGTGGGAAGTCCCTTGGTTGTCTCAATATTTGTCAAATCCACTATATAAAGTGAGAGGTAGTTTAAAATTTGTAACTGCTGAGTAACTCACCATTTGTGGGAAGTCCCTTGGTTGTCTCAATATTTGTCAAATCCACTATATAAAGTGAGTGGTAGTTTAAAATTTGTAACTGCTGAGTAACTCACCATTTGTGGGAAGTCCCTTGGTTGTCTCATGGACCTGCTGTGTGATGGCTTTAGCCACCATTTTAAACGTGTCCTGGTCAACATTTAAAAACAAAAAACACAATTTTTTAAAGCAACAATAGCAAGTACACAACATCAAGTATTCACCACTATCTAGCATCAACTGCTTTCTCTCTTGTTTAAGATACTAGTAATATATTTACACATATATCTAGACAGGTCAAGGAAAGGGAGACCACAAAACTATTGACTGGCGAGAACCATGATCAGAAATTTATTTTTTTCCCTACCCCATGTACAGTTTGCCAGCACCACAAATAAGCTAAAATACCAGCAGTATTAATGTGTGTTTTAGGTAAATTTGATATCCACCTTAGTGTTAGAATAAAATATGTCCCAAAGCAACTAAAGTTATTTGGTCCTAGAATTATCTCCCTTTTTTGTTATATGCTGTTGGGCTTTAGCCAAGGTAACAGTCAAGGGGAGGTAACTGATATTACTTTTCTATAAATAAACAAGTGTCTAGGAAAGTGCTATCAAGCTTTGGTCCTAATTGTCCCAAATGGAAGTCTGCTGGATCAACAAAGACAGTGAAACAGGCCCCAATTAAACATTTATCCTCTACTAATGCCAGGTTTGGTTACATTTTTTTTCAAAGGTCAGTTTCAAACCCCAAAAGCTAATACACAGTTGTAGCACTATGAGCAAGTACCTTGTGAACAAACCTCCCCAAACTGGTACCACAATGAGCACTTACCTTGTTAGCAAACCTCCCAGCCTTGTAGTATGGGGTAAGGTACTTGACCACGTTGTCAGCTATCACTTTCATCTGTTTGTTCTCCCTCATCTTCTTCTCCTCAGCCTCAGATACAGGGGGAGGTTTCTAAAAACAGTCAGAGTTGACATCAATAAGGGGAACTAATCCAGTGGGGGAGGTAATGGGGCAAGTAGGGAAGGTGATGGGGATAATAAGAGGAAATAATAGGGACAAGTAAGGGAAGTAATAGGGGCAAAAGGGGGAGGTAATGGGGACAATAAGGGGAAATAATAGGGACAAGTAAGGGAAGTAATAGGGGCAAAAGGGGGAGGTAATGGGGACAATAAGGGGAAATAATAGGGACAAGTAAGGGAAGTAATAGGGGCAAAAGGGGGAGGTAATGGGGACAATAAGGGGAAATAATAGGGACAAGTAAGGGAAGTAACAGGGGCAAAAGGGGGAGGTAATGGGGACAATAAGGGGAAATAATAGGGACAAGTAAGGGAAGTAATAGGGGCAAATGGGGAGGTAATGGGGACAAGTAGGGGAGGTAATGGGGACAAATAGGGGAGGTAATGGGGACAAATAGGAGAGGTAATGGGAACAGGTATGAGAAGGAAATACGGACAAGAAAAAGCGGTAACGGGGATCAGTTAGGATGTAATATAGACAGATTTTTTACTAAATCAATATCCAAAAAACAGAGTATCCTTGAATCACTTAGAAAGTGCAGAGGCTTTTATACTTCAAGAAGTAACTTTCTTTTACAAGTCACACAAAATGTATTGATAAATAAAGCATTAAATGATCAGATATTGAAAGACCAGCTTTGTATCAATCAACAAAGCCAATACCTTAACCTTGGTGGAGACTTCCTGCCTTTTCTTGCTGACCTCATGCTCACTGGGACCTTCTTGCCTGGGTTTTTTGCTGATGTAAGCATCCAGTGTGTGCTGCATGGCTAATTGCTGGGGGAGATGAGGAGGTAAAAAATTTTTTATTAATTGTACATTAGCAACAAAAATATGGATGAATGGATGGAATGAAAGTGCTTAAATTTTATCCATCTAGTTGAATTATTTTTATACTGACCTGGTTTACCACATATCTAAAATACTTTTAGCAAAAAAAAAAATTTAATAGACATAAGCTTAAACATTGAATATAAGAAATAAACTATATAAAATAGGGAACAAAGAAAATAATAGAGTGATATTTTCATCAATTCATTCTACTCTTACTACCTCTACTTGTTTTTTTTATAATATGTAACATTACTGGTACAACAAGAACAAATGACAAACCAAATGAGGAAAATACATTTACATAATCAAAGAAATGATAACAATGTTTTGTTAGATATCTCATAGATTCTTGCTATAATGTGGTTATTGTTAGATATCTCAGGGTTGAGGGATGTTTTAATTAGGCTTCAGAGAACGAGCTATAATTAGACTATCATGATATACTTAAAAAAGTGCATAAAAAATTTAACTTACTTCATCAGATATTTTTCTTTTCTTAGACTCAGCTTTTTGAGATGGCTGCTTGCTTCTACCTTCATTGGAAAAACCTTTATGTTTACTGGTGGAATGTTTAATACTGGCTTGTCTCCCTTCCTTCTTGGCCTCTGTACCGGTTCTTGACTGACTAGCTTCCCCTTTTGGCCCAGCTGAAGAGTGGCCCCCCTTGGGTGAGCTGGGCCCACCCTCACTAACCTTCTCAAAGAAACAAAGCACCTTGGGCTTGTGCTTGGCTGTGTTGGAATCCTGTGAGTGGCCAGGGGTCACTTGCGGGCTATCACAGTCCATGCTGTCATCCTGTGTGTCTATGACCAGAGAGTTCTTTGGCTCAGCTGGCGTTTTGGTGCCAGAGAAACCATTTTTGTCCCCAAATAAAATGGAGAAAATATTGTCCCGGATGGACTTGCCAGCACTGGGGGGTTTCTCTTCTTTAGCAGGGTTTTGAAAATCTGATAAAAACCCACCACCGGGAATTGCTGCAGCGTTCTGGAAGTCAGATAACAATCCATTGAGTGGATTTGTTGCGGAGTTCTGGGATTTGTAGACAGCTGAAGCAGTTTGAAAAGAGGGTGCTGTGGGTGGGGGGGCTGAAGGCGGGGATTTAGCTTGGCTCAACAAAACAGAACTGGCTGTCTGAAAGCCTAGACTGGATGGCGTGGGGGAGGGTCGACTGCTGCTCATCTGTGAGAACAGGTCGCTGGCCCGCACGAAGACATTGTCCGCAGCTCTGTCTGGCCTGCTGACCGGCTCACGTGTGTCAAGATCTGACCTCTCAGACTTCTCACTGCTGGTCAGTCTATCAATGCCATTTGACGGAACAGCCGACTCCCCCTTTTTAAAGCAAGCGTGAGCTTCGTTGTTCTGTGTGAGCTTGCGTATTTCTGAGACCAGTTTGGTGACAGAGGACTTGTACATGGGGGCCAACTTGCTGGCCAGGAATATCTGGTGCTCCAGGTCCAGGGCGTTGGTGCGGGGCTCGTAGTCTCTGGCTCGAATACGCTGGTCCTCCTCAGCGTAGACACGGATGAAATTTTCATACAGAGATTTCTCTATCATCTCAAAGCAATGTTCCCTGGTCTGAGGTAAAAGTGAAACACTGACAAAATTTAACAAACTCAATCAAATTTTGATATATTGTTTTATAATCGGCACCCTGGTACTTAAACTGATTTTAATACATCAATCAATATTTCCATTTGTTAATATTGAGTATTGAGAAATAAGCATGGATTCCTAAAATATTGTCTTTGAAGTTATTTAACAAAAAGCTTCATTTTTATTTCAATAGATTTTCTAATAATTTATTCATTTTAATTATAACATAAATGATAATATGATGAATTATCATTAGTATTTTGGAATAAGCTCAGTTTTTTCTGAAACTTGACAAAATATCATTAATATAGCACCAAGTATCAAAACTAAAATATCTACAGACATATTTTGATAAAGTTTACTACAGACATAGTTTTATAAAGTTTACTACAGACATATTGTGATAAAGTTTACTACAGACATTTGTGATAAAGTTTACTACAGACATATTGTGATAAAGTTTACTACAGACATATTGTGATAAAGTTTACTACAGACATATTGTGATAAAGTTTACTACAGACATATTGTGATAAAGTTTACTACAGACATATTGTGATAAAGTTTACTACAGACATATTGTGATAAAGTTTACTACAGACATATTGTGATAAAGTTTACTACAGACATATTGTGATAAAGTTTACTACAGACATATTGTGATAAAGTTTACTACAGACATATTGTGATAAAGTTTACTACAGACATATTGTGATAAAGTTTACTACAGACATATTGTGATAAAGTTTACTACAGACATATTGTGATAAAGTTTACTACAGACATATTGTGACAAAGTTTACTACAGACATATTGTGATAAAGTTTACTACAGACATATTGTGATAAAGTTTACTACAGCCGTAGTTTGATAAAGTTTACTACAGACATATTGTGATAAAGTTTACTACAGCCGTAGTTTGATAAAGTTTACTACAGACATATTGTGATAAAGTTTACTACAGCCGTAGTTTGATAAAGTTTACTACAGACATATTGTGATAAAGTTTACTACAGCCGTAGTTTGATAAAGTTTACTGCAGCCATATTGTGACAAAGTTTACTACCTATGGAAGTCCACAACTGACCTTCACAGTTAACTTGGTCACCCTCTGGCTACTGGCATCACGGAGTGGACAGTCTGCAGACGGGGGTTCAAAGTCATCTGACTTCTCTTCAGGAGCTGATTTCTGGTGGAGGAAAAACAGAATTGTATTAGTTTTATGAGAAACAGAGAACTGGACTAGTTACACAAGCAACAAAGACTGACCTGATGTTTACTAGTTCCACAAGAACATTAACTAGAAAGCAAGCTACCACGAACAGTTTACTGTACTTGAAATAACTTGACAGAAAATAACATGAAAGAGTAGATCTACTGTACAAAACATAAAATTGTGGACCTACATTAACAGCTTTCCTTTTTTCAAATTCTTTCATGATGATGGTGGTTCTCACTTTCTTCTGTTTCTCTGCCTGTTTCCTCTCTCTGTGGTACTCCCCCTCATCCTCACTTCCCTCCCCTGCCTCATACATGTCTGTTTCCCTGTTCAACATACACATACATAGTTTTATAATAGCTGGTATTTTAAAAGCTGATCTAAAAATGCTGCTGTTGTAAACAAATGTTGTACGTACAACACTTAGTTAAAAATTAAAGAAAAACAAGCTGTCAACAGGCCATATGGCGACAAAATATTGACACATAATACTTAACTGCACTGGAGGAAATTCCCTTCAATAACACAATCACGAATGAAAAAAATAAAGAGTTAAAAAGTTGAGTAACTTAACCCTTGAGGTGTGGTCTAAAGTTGACTGATGACAAGACCAAAAATGTTTACCTTTTAGCTCCCTTGCGCCCCCCTTCGTACATATCAGTGTCGTCCTCGTTGATTACCATCATAGCCCCGCCCAGAGCTGTCCTCATCTTGGTGTTGATGAGGCCGCGCTGCATGTTCAGGATGTCCATCTCAACCTTCTTGGGGTCGCAGCAAACATCGCAGGCACGCTCGCAGTTGGGCTTATCATCACCAAAATAACTAGCTATGGACCAGTGGCGACACCTTACGATACAGATAATAATATTGTTACTTCTACATTTTCTTTGTGAAAACTGTATATATAACTATACATTTTTAAAAAAAAATTATACATAGATCTTTATAGTTTTTGTGAAAACTTTATCTAAATATCTTTTGTTAAAATTATACACAGAGCTTTATATTTTCGTGAAAACTACACTTTACTATAGCTATATATCTTTTGTTAAAATTATACATAAATATACATATCTTTCACAAAGTGTGATGTACAACAAATCTATGTCTAAAAATATTTAACAACTGAATAAAATACTTAGACTTAGACAATAAATTCAAATAATTTTTCAAATTGTTAGATAAAATTTCATTGGAAATATTCTGAAATAATTTATAAAATGTGCTGATATCTGATCACAAAATGAAAGTGATGCCAACATACTGCAAGGTTTCACAGAAACTAACAAGGGCTGAAAAACTCTCTTCTGATGACTTAGCTTGAAGTTTTGCTAACTCAGCACTTTTCTGCACAAAGTAAAAAAAAAAAAAAATCATTCAGCATTAGACATGGGGCTAACTCTATAAACACTATTTTTAAATATTTCTTTCTTTGATTATAAATCATAATCATTGATTATTGTGACTGACAATGTTTAAATGACCTAACAATTACAAAATTTAAGAATTTAAAATCCCTTACAGTAATAGCATATGTTTAAATGCCCTGCAAAGACTGATGACAACTTACGTTTAGTCTATTGTTTTCAGTAGAAATGAGAAAAGCTACAGTGTCTTTCTCTCGATGCGAGTAGTAAAGCCGACAGAAGGAAGGTCGCCCATCCCTGCCGGCACGTCCAGACTCCTGGTAGTAGCCAGCCATTGACTTTGGCATTGTCCAGTGTGCAACAAACCTTGAAAACAAGCACAGCATTTAGGGCTCTGTGATTTACCACTCTCTATACATAGCAAGCAAATGTCAACAAACTTTGAAAACATTAAATTTAAGAGTAAAAAAAATATTTAAACTAATCTGTAGAAATTGATTACAGCCCTGCCTTAAAATCTAACACTATAAAATGATACTCATACTGACAACATTTATTTAGCAAGTTTAAAAAGTCCACACTCTATGACTATACACCATCTTTCCCCGGGTCATGTAATACCTACCTGACATTAGCTTTGTCCACTCCCATACCAAAGCTGATGGTGGCCGCTATAATGGGCACACGCCCCTCCATCCAATCATTCTGGGTCTCCTCCCTAAGTTTACCACCTAAGCCTGCATGATACGGCCTGGTAGGAAGTCCTTTTCTGCTCAAATGACTAGCAATTTCATCACAGCCATCGCGTGTTCTACAGTACACAATACCACATCCTTTGTCATTCTACACAAGGAGGCAGACAATGAAATGATGGATTCAATACAAACACTTAGTAATTAGGTAGAGTACACAGGACAAGTGCAAGAAGCAAAACAAATCTTAGGTAAGTAGTGGGAGAGTTAAAGAAATACAAATCATGAAAAAAGCAGGAAAGTTGGAGTTAAACTGGACATATATATTATATGGTGCATAACATGTTCAAACATAATACTTAATTATGCAGGAGAAAATCTTAATTACCTCCAATAATACAAATAAGAAAAAAAAATGAAAAAGAAAAGAAAAACAATCAAACACCAATGGAAGTCTGGACATTAACTAGTATAAACTTTATATGCCATTTTGCAGCAACCATGCAGGCTAATAGAACTCACATCAACATGTATATTTCTCAACAGCCATTGCACACATACAACTTAGGACTACCTGAATTCTTATCAGCATGTGTATTACTGAATGCAAATTTTAAAAATACCCATCAAAAGCAGGAAATGGTTTTCAGTAGAAAGTCCTTGACCTTAGTCAGCTGTCTGACAACAGTAGGAAGAGGTCAAGTTAGGATACAAAGTGGTCAAAGACTGGAATTGTAAGCTATGGTGGCCATAAATGATTATGATATTTAGTTTGTCATTGTGGTGGGGGGGGGGGGGGGGGGGGAGGTCCATTATACTACTAATATTCCAGCTCATCATACTTAGATAAACCAAACAATATGGAATATTAAAAGAAAAACATACCCATGTCTCTGAATCTTCCAAGGGACCACCCAAACACTTAAGAGCAAATTTACACAAATCCATGTACGGATCAGGTAAAAAGTCTTTCATACAAACTTCATAATAAAGATTGCTTCGGAAACTACTGGTTTTAAATTTAAGCACAGGTTCTTTAAGCTTGAGCTGGCTTGCTATATCCTTAACAACCTGTGGTGTGGCGGTTGCTGTCAATGCTATACACGGAATCCCAGGAATCCTTTTGCGGAATTCACCAAGTTTTAAGTAGTCTGGCCGAAAATCATGACCCCACTGAGAAACACAATGGGCTTCATCTATCACAAAATATGATATCCTCCCTTTAGAGAAAAGAGAGTCTACAATACTCTGGAACCCATCAGTGGCTGCTTGCTCCGGTGTGATATAGAGCAGTTTCACCTTGGAATGTTTGGACAGAAGTTCAGACACAACTTGTTTCCTTGCGCTGGCTGAAAGCTTAGAATTAATTGTCTCTGCTCTGATCCCTAAAGCCTCTAGGTGATCCAGCTGGTCATGCATAAGAGCAATAAGAGGGGAGACAACAATTGTGACACCGCATGCCAGAACAGCAGGGAGCTGGTAGCACAGTGACTTTCCTGCACCAGTTGGCATCGACACATACACATCATTTTTGCCTGCAAGTAACAATGATAATAAATACAAATAATTTATCAGAAAACTTGTAGGCTGTAAGTTGAACAATTGTACTTTGTTAGGCCTAAGTAATAGTACTAATCTAGTAAGTTACTTGGTTAGTTACTAGATCTAGATCTTGAATAGGTAACTGTTAAACTAGTAGATCAAAGTTAGTTGTCTGTCTAGATAGTCTAGTAAAATATATGAGCCAACCCGCTGACTAGCATACACCGTTGTTTAGTTGTTTTATATTCTACTTTTCAGTAATTCATAATTTGTGAATTGGACACTACCCTCCCTCTTCCCCCCCCCCCCCCCCCCCATGACAGATCTAGACTAGACTAGTTTCAGATATAGGCCTAGTTATTAGTATATTTATATTCAATATAATATATTGGCCTATCTACATTGAAACTAGTAGATCTAGATCTAGTAGTAGTAGATCTAAGGTCTAAGTCTAGTCTAGATCTACATTGTTTTTTAAATGAATGCTCACTGATTTATTAGTACAACCTGGCAATGTTGTGAAGCTTACCATTTACAACAGCTTTCACTGCTTCTTTCTGAGTAGTTGATTTAAAATCTTTGTGTTTGAAGACTTTGAGCAATATGCTCATAACATCTTTCTTGTCAAAGGACATTTGACTAATGGAAAAAAAATGAAATATTTATGTAATTAAAAATTATACATTGATAAGCCTCATTCTCATTAAATAGATCTAAAGATCTAGGCTATAAAAGTCCTTTCGCTTTCACACAAATGGGCTAAACGAAAAACTTGCAAATAACAAGAAAATCAATCAACAGTTGTCTATTTACATACTTCTGGTTCAAGCAGTACAAAATCGTTTTCTACATAGAAGAAATTATATTGGCCAGATTCAAGAAAAATAAACAGGTTAAAAATAAAATCCCCCAAGTGTTCAATACTTTTTGACATGGTTAATTTATGGATAGGGTTTTCTCTTAATTCATTATTTTAAATATAAAATAAACTTGAAATATAGAAATTTAAACACTGAGAAACATACTGCCCTATAAAAGCATAAAATGTAAGTGTAAGATCACACAGCCTTGTCTTTGGGCTACACTAACTTGTTTGCATCGATCTGCATTATATAGGAGAAAAATGGTTATTTTTAAGAAAGGTTAATTTCGTTAGTCATATTCTTTCGAAAACTTTTTATTTTAAAATGTATCAGCTTTTATTTTTAAAGATGTAGTGGAGCTTAAACTGAAAAGTAAAAGCAAATGAAATATCTTACAGATCTAGGTTAGGGCCTATATTGTTTTTGACTGCTGCAGTTTCGTAAAGGTTCAATTAAACTGCCGTCTATTGACACACTTATTATTACTTGGCGAAAATGGCAAACGCCCTTGTTGATTTTTTGTGAAAATCCACACAATTGTGGATTTTGTTTTTCTGATTTTCGATAATAGTCAAGTTTAATACAACTTAAAGTTCAATGGCTATACGCTTTTTGCAATTTCGGTAACACAATCTGTATCACGAAGGAGTAAACATGCGTTTCAAACAGGTGAGCAGTTTTAGGTACTCACGCAGTTACAGTAACTCATCATTTGACAGAGCCCCAAATCAGACAAAATGGAAGTTAACATTTGTTACCCATTGATAACTTTAGCATTGCCATAATAAGGATAATGACATTTAAGTATACTTAGTATAGTAAACCAATTGTAATGAATTATTATACCCAGCCTACATCAATTCTAGTCTAGATCTTCTGCTAAAATTAAGGCCCTTTCTATAGGCCTAGATCTAGGCCTAATATAATAATATTCTATTTCATTTAGAAATCTAGATTATTTTCAGGTATATAGGCCTAAATTTTAGAGAATCTAGATTAGATCTAGACTTCTATTACTAAGAAAAGGAGTGGTAGAATCTATTCTAGATCTCTAAAACTAGTATTCTTTTTCTAGTTGTTGCTTTTTAAATTTAATTGGCCTGATAAATTTTGCTCTATTTTTTTTAAGATTAGTACAATTTTTAAAAAATCTTTATTGATGCTCATTTTTCATAATCTCATGTTTAGTTATTAATAGTCTGCAAAAGACTATAATATAGATAAAGGTCTCTATCCTCAAAACTATCATCCCAATTCTCATTTTTGACAAAAATGTTGATTAGAAATGTACTGACCTGGTTAATTGTATTTGTAATTTATTATCAAGTTCAAGTTTGTACTAGATCTATGTTAAAATTAAGAAATGGTATAAATATAAAAATTAACCAGTCTGTTACAATTATTTCATAACTAAATAAACTTATTAAATTGCAATATCTAATCATTACAAGTTATCAAAACACCTAATCTAAGGCCCAAACTGATTAATTCAGTGTCGGAAATTATTCAAAAAAAAAGTTCTATTATAAAAAGTTCTTCAACTTTTCTCATCTTGGATCATACGGTGAATAAATGTGTACATTTTAGTTTTATTCTTAAACTATTTTTAAAATATGAATGCATAGAACAACTTAAAGAAAGAAGCTAATTCTGTTCTGTCTTTACACCATCTTGGAAATGACACAAACTTTCTTTAATTAATCTGTTGTATTTGGGGGTTTTGTTTTTTTTGTATGTTTTTTTTTTAATTGGGTATATCTAATCAATGTACCTAGTGTACTGAGCTGACAACTTATATGTATTAAGATATTTGTTTAGAAAATTTAACATTATTCCTAGCTAGCTAAATTCCTAAGTTTTAGAAGTTTTTTTGCTGGATCAATGTGACTATAATGATTTTGTTTCTTCTCAAATTAGACAAAGCCTCAACATGTTAAAAAGAAAGAGGGAGAAAGAGATCAGTCCAGTGGGTTGAGTAGTACGCACACTGAAATCCTTGCACACTGCAGCGATACAGAATGGGAAGGATATGACTGCATTGACGGAGATATGGATTCTGTGAAACTGAAGATGAACTTATTAGAAGACCATAACCCGAACATCCAGCTAAATGGACAGTCCGAAGAACCAGTGATGGACTTGCGTCCTATGCTGGAGCTATACAGTAATGACGAATGCAATGGGTCAGCTATTTGCCATGAGGACATGCTGGATGACCCACCAACTCCTGCGGCAGCAGAAAATGATGTTATAATCCAAGGGAGACGACCTATTTTCTCAGAGTCTGAGGAATCCAATATAGCAACCCAACTTAAACAATGGAAAGAACAGGGCATGAAGTACACAAGGCTTGATGTTGTCAAGATGGCTTCAGAGTATGCTGTGCATCTTGGGAAGCGTCCACAGGGGAGGCCACTCACTGTAAAATGGTTCCGAAGCTTTTTGACACGCCATCCAGAATGTTACATTAGGAAATCTAGAAAAACTAAAAACGAACGCCCAGAGAAGCAACACTTCAACCAGCTAGATATGATACTTACAACATACAACATGAAGGAGAGCCCACATTGTATCTTTAGCTTGGTAGAGCTGCCTCTGACAATGTTAAAGAATGGGGAGATTTCTATTCCAGAAGACCTTAGTCTTAACGGAGCAAGTATGAATGGAGGCAAACCACACAAAAAAATGACTTTTCTTGGCAAAGTACCATCCACAATTCTTTTTTGTGGCAGTGCTGCTGGCCAAGCCCTGCCTCCTTTTCTCATCTTTTCAGGCAAGACCTTGGATAAATCAATTTTGTCTGGCGTCACACCAGGTGCCGGCGGCATAGCTTGCCACTCTGGGCGCGCAACTCCCGAGGTTTTAATCTCGTTTCTCCGAGAGCACTTTTTGTCCCAAGCCCCTGGTCGTTCAGGAGACACGCTCATTCTCTTGTTGGACTCCAACCTTGGTCGCTGTTTGAACCAGGCAGTTATTGACCTGGGGTCAGCATTCAAGGTCGTGTTTGTGACAGCTCAAACCACTCTCAACCCCCAGCTCCATCCAATGGCCATAGGATGCTGCAACACATTTCAGCGAGAGCTGTGCTTTGAGCTGCAGAAACCACTCTATTCATCTGAGACAGCATCCATATCATCTTTCTCAATCTGTGAGTTCTTGTGCCGGCTCTACCACCGCAACATGTCGGCAGAAAATCTACACTCCACTTTCCGGAAAGCTGGCATCTTTCCTTTCAACCCCTCCATTTGCAGAAAGAGATACGGCTCCGCAGTCGTCCGGCCAGCTATTGCTTCTGGTCAGTCGAGTAAGTATAGAGAACCAGTGACCAGCGATCTCCAGCCGTACTTGAGGGCTTGTGAGGAGGAGGAGGACATGGATGGCCCTCCAGCAGACGACGACGCAGACCTTCAGTAAGGTTGAGAGCAGACTTGATGTTGTCGGTTCCGTTGTCTTTTGTGCACTTTTTACTTTTTTTAAAAATCTACTTGCAGAATTTTTTTCAAAATTGTTCATAAAACTTTTTTTTTTCAAAATGAAACTCATTTTTAACCCATAGCCAATTGACTTAAGTAATTATAATCTTGGCAACAATTTTGCTGTTTACAGTAAGAGCCAACCTTGTTTTTGGGATCTCAAATGCTCAATTTACACAACCCCTAATCTAGTCGTGTATCATTTTGGCGGCCTGTTTTTATTGTTTATTTTTATTTCACTGTTTTATCAATCACATAACCCTGCTCATTTGTGTGCAATTGTTTTAGTAGGACATCAACATACATTTACATGTCCAATACATTATTATTGTTTGAAATCCTATTCATAAAATGTCTCTAAAGATTGCTACTTTTAAAATGCATTAACACATTTAACTATTCAAGGCTTAATCTTTTTTACGAAACAAACTTTTCAGGGAATTATTTTTAAAAAAGCTATTGAAATTGTTTACCAAGACTTTAAAGGAACAATTAAGTTAATTTTTAAAATGTATCATGTACAACGAGTATAGATTTACATTTCACTTTTATTACATGTTAATTTGTATACAGTATTTCAATCTTTAAAAAGATTTTTCAATGATTCCCTTTGTCTATAAAAACCAGGTTAACTTCATCTAAGACAGTCAAAATGTTTATAATTAATTTTTTTAATAAAAACATTTTTTTTTATGTTAAAGTAATAACAAAATTCAGAATTATTTTCATCTTACCATACTAATTTGAATATCTCTGTTTAATTATTTGATTCTAAAAGTTTTCTATAATGAAGATAATAGGTTGAACTGTCTTTAAAGAATTTCAAAGGTTAAACTATCCCAAATGAAAATCAAGGGTTATACCATCTTTATTGAAGACCACCGTTTTAACTATGTTTAATGAAGATTACAGGTTAATCTTTAAATTCTGTCAGTTTACAGAGTATAACTGTCTTTAATGCAGATCACGGGATAAATTTACTTTAATGAAGATCACAGGTCAACCTTTCATTCTGCCAGTTTACAGAGTATAACTGTCTTTAATGTAGATCACATCATAAATTTACTTTATTGAAGATCACAGGTCAATCTTTCATTCTGTCAGTTTACAGAGTATAACTGTCTTTAATGCAGATCACGGGATAAATTTACTTTATTGAAGATCACAGGTCAATCTTTCATTCTGTCAGTTTACAGAGTATAACTGTCTTTAATGCAGATCACGGGATAAATTTACTTTAATGAAGATCACAGGTCAACCTTTCATTCTGTCAGTACAGTTTAAGATCAGACTTTTAATACTTTTTTCAATCCTACATGTTTCTTTTAATGTTTATTGTTTTGCCTTTGTTGACTATTTTATTTATTCTTTTAATGTTAACTGTTTCTAGTCATCTGAACATTATATTTTTATACAGCTGTTGTCCATGCTGAGCTTTGCCTGTTTTAATAAGCTTCAAGCTGAATACTGTTTCATTGATATGCTCACCTTCTTTTCTTTGTTATATTCTGAAATCCATGACACCTGTTGCACTTTAATTTTTTTTTTCTATCTTTCTGTTTAGAGATTTTAACCCAAGGCACATCCTAGTTGCATAACAGATAACCTTTTTTTGTATACAGACAATCTCCATTTAATCCTTGCCTGGTTGGATGCTGTTTTTATTGATTATTATGTCTTGTACTTAATAGGTCATTCAGAACTTGTTAACGTAGTTTTAAAAAAATATTTTATCCATTCATTGGGGCCTTGTTGAGTGCCGCTTGTCTCTTGCAAATCTAGACAATGGGTCGTAATTTTGTTCACCTTAAAGTTGTCATATAGTTTATCATTATGTAAAACTTGCTCAAAATGAATATAATGTTCACATATTTGTATTATAAACTATAAAACTAATATTTATAACGTGATGAAATTGTTTGTATGTGCTAACAGTTTTGCTAGAGGATAGGCTATTGTTCCGTCATTGACATGAATCCACTGATTTAGGCCAATCTGTTTTTAAGTTTAGCTCGCTTGTTTCTATTGGTAAAGGCATTCATTTAATTAAATACAGCAACATAATTTAGGTAGTCTTAGTCATTTTTAATGAATACTTGTCTTCTAAAAGTCTTTTTTTTTCCTATTTTTATACTGTTGCTATCTTATAATTTTATAAAGCTTCAAGAGATTTTGTTCAAACTTATACAATTTTCCCCTTATAAAATAATGATTAAAAAAATATAGCTTAGTATATAGTTTCATATATATTTTTATTTACTAGAAGTCTGTTTTTAATTTATTTGTTTCAAATCAACTGATTTTTTTTTTTAAATTCATTACTTTTGATGGTTTATAAATAATTTATCTAAAAATGTTTTTAGTAGTTAATGTTAGATTAGCTAACCATCAGAGCAGTAGAAATGTATTAAGTGCCATCAATGTTCAATTCTGCCTTGTGTAACTTTTTTTTTTTTGCCAAATCAAAAAACTTTTATCCAGTGCCTTGCCACAGAAGCCAAAATATATTTTTTCATTTAGTCAAAATATTACTATATTAGGAAAGATTCCTCCGGAGAGACGATATTTTATTATTGTATTATTGTTCTAATTCTTAGAAGATAATGATGGGAAAAGCTTTTGTGATTGTCTCCATAAAATTATTTGGGATAGTGCCTCATTTACACTATTGATTTCATTTTGTTAGGTTTTCTAGTCACAGGTTAATAATTAAAGCTCAACAAGTTTACATTACTATCTAGTCTAAATGTGTATTGAAGTTTATTGTCTTTTTTCAAAGCGTTTTTTTTATATTTCAGAATTTTCAATTTCTTGTTAACTATTTTTATTTTCTTTGACTGTCAGCTAATTTTTAGACACTCTGATTAACATTTTTACTGTGATAAACAATTGATTTTGATTTTTTTAAAATAACAGTTTCATGTTTAATAATATATGGTAATAGAGCAAGTGCAATTTTAACAGCAAAAATAATTTATGAATTATTTTATTTTTATCTTAATAAGGATAAAGTCTTAAAGTAGAAACTAAAATGGTATAAAAAGAATATTTTTATAAAGGTTGCATAATAAAAGTTAAACTAATTACAATAAAAAACTTGTATATGAAGTGATAAAATTTAAAGCTGTCTGACTTGTGATAGAGTGATTTAAGTTGCTTAACTCTAAAGGGAAGTGATTTACAGGGTTGATACTGAATTGTTGTTTTTTTTAACATTTAAAAAAATATATACTTTAAGTTTTCTATACTTATCTGTGAAAGACAAGCATAATAGCATATTTAGACTATTTACAAATGCTACTGTGTGTTACCAACTCTAGTCAAAGCTTATCTGTCAATGTGATGTTCTTTCATACTCTCTTGTTTGACTGTTGTGTTGATGGCAGCATCTCAATGCTAAATTCATGTACAGTACATCCGCTTGTATTTTTCTAATTACTTCTCTTTTATTACGGCTTTTCTTTTATGCAATTTTTGAGACGATGTATATGAAGTATAAATGGAATGTTGGCGATGTGTAGGAGAGGACATGGCCAGAGACATCTGTGATGTAGTCAGTCTCTAAACTAGCCATGTAATGAGGAGCCTCTGCTGCTGGATCAATGCCGAGATAAGACAAAAAAAACAGAAAGTGTTTGAAAGACAAATACAACTGACATTTTGACACAGACTTTTTATTTTGTACTGAAGAAAACTTTGTGTTGAAACACCATTTGTAATTGTCTGTACATTGTGAGGATACTAACATTTTCTGTTGTTGTTTTTTTTAATAAATATTTATAAGATTTAGCTCCTGGATGCTCCCATTTTTATCCATTCTTGAAAAGTATTGCAAGCAGCTATGGGGTTTATTTAGTTTTAAAACTAGTTTAATTCGATTTTTTTTCAGACACTGCTATTCTAATCGCAGTCTTTATGTAAAATTCAATGTAGTCTTTGTAAGTCAACATATAAAAACACACTTCTTTTAATTAAAAACAAACACTAATTTTAAAAGTTGCTTGATCCTTTCTTGCTAAGAGATTTGAAATGTGTTTTAAAAGGTTGTTTTAAATTTTATTACCAACGTATCCGCCATAACCAAGTGCCTAAAATTGTTTCACCATCAGGTGAGTTTAAATTTTGCTAAATCAGGTTCACGATTTATCAACCAAATGTGATTTTTTTTTTTAAAGCAGGTCTACTATCTGAACTAGCTAATCTTATGACTAACAGTCTAGTTAAAGAAAATAGGTGGTCATTGAAATACACACCCAACCGTACTTAACCCGTTATCCATATGTAAATTTCGTCATCATACCTGGACTCAGGTTTTTGAGCTTCAGTCACGGACTCTCTTCACCTCAAATTGTTGTCCAACAGTGTGTCTATCTCTAACTATGGTGCTACAAGCTTAATGTTATGGTAGTTATTGCATTGTTTTTTTCTTGTAACCATCATTTTCCTGTTTTGATATCGGTATTGTAAATAGATGTAAACTTACTACTCAAAGAATTTTATAATATTTTACAATTGATCTGAAAGAAATCCACCTGACTGGTTTGTGGATGTCTGTCTGTTTGGCTTGGACTTGTAGTATTTTTGATTAAGGGATTTATTTTTTCATGATTAACCCCTTAGCTGTGTGTATCTTAGGGGTGTAAATTTACAACTTTTTTTTATCATAGGTGTTGGTATTAAATTTATAATTTGAACAGAATTGTTTTCTAGAGTAAATTAAACTTCAGTTAACCTGGAGATTTATTTGTAGAAATCAAGTAACTTAGGAATAGTGTATGTGATTTCTTTTTTTTTAGCAGATGGTAAGAATTTATACAAACTCAGCCATTGTCTGTATTTTAACAAAACTAAATGGTATGTATAAGTGTGTCTGTGAAAATATATGCTCACATTTTTTTATTAATATCCTAGTCATTCATCAGTTTTTTAGCACTTTTTACCTTGTTGCATCCCCAGACCATGACTGTTTTTTTTGGCACATTTTCTAGTCATAGATATGTTGGCCAGATTTTTGTAACCAACAGTGCTCAATGTCTAAATAATTTTATTTTTGCCCAACCTTGTTTCTGTCACAATGCTTTCGCACCATGCTAGATGCATACATTTTATCATTAAAATAAACAATTTTGTTTTAAATTTTTTTTTAAATTGATGAACTCTGTAGAAACCAACAATTACCTAAAAATGGATTCCCAAATGTTTTTAATCCAGAGTTTGTCATTTGCTGGTTCATTGCTCATGTGTAACCTTTGTGTTATTGGGTGACAAGGTGTTGATGGTTACTGTGGATTATATCACTCAAATATTTGCCTGCACATTCTGCTTGTTTCAAACATTTTTTAATACGATTATTTATTTTCACATTTATTTTGCTCAGAGACCAATTTTTAAACTGATTTTTATTTTTGTTCTTTGTTTTAATCATACATTCATGCGTCTATGATTTATCTGTTTGAATTAATCCCAACCATTTCCTCTTACATGTGAGGAAACTATCTACAAATGGAAAATAATTTTTAAATGTTATTTCCATTTCTTTTTACTAATATAGTCATGTTTTTATTTTATTTTTAAATAGAGAGCTCAACATTAAAAGCTGCACAAACTTTTGTGTATGTTGAACTTATGTGACAGACACATGAATGTAGAAAGACATTGAAGTACTGTTTGAACCTACACACTGTCAGTTGTTTCTATATATTTTACCACCAGTTTACTAACGAAGGTTTGCATTAACCACCAGGTACCTGTTTCGCTCACACAGGTGACTTGTACACACAGGTGACTTGTACACACAGGTGACTTGCGCATCAGCCTTTAAATAGGAAAAAAAATGTTTTCAATTTACAGATAACACCCAATCAGTGCCTGATTAGTACATTTTTACTGTCAGCTTGTATTTTTTCTAGTCCATACTCAAACTAATGTTGATTCCGCTCACATGTCAAATTAAAGCAGAAATATTTTTATTAAAACTGAGTAATGTTAAGTCCAGAAATTAACTTAAAAATGGTTTGAAAGCAAAGAAAAGTACTTTTTGCAGGGAACTTAAAGATAAAATGTGACAAGTGCAATGATAAGAAAATTAATTTTAAATTATGAATTATTCAATGACAGTAATAAAAATGGCTTTTTAAAAAGTATTAAATCTTCTTATATGCTAGTCTTCAACTAGCTTATTATTGTTATTGAGATTTATTAAGAATCAGTTTAAAATGTATGCTCAATATAGATTTAACTATTTTAACTGTTGATTATTGTAGAATAATTGTTGTTCTCAGATATTTCATTTTCCATTGTGTAAAGCACTAAAAGTCTTTTGTAATTTATTTGAACTGCAAAGTATTAGTGGGGAAAAATTATTTTTTTTAATAAAATGTTACATCTTAGGCATAGTCAATAACCTTAGAATTATGTATTAAACAGAAACTGCAAGGAACATTACACATAATAAACACTGATTTATTTACTTTGGTTTTCAAATTTGAGCTATAAAATCAGTACGTTTTAGGAAAGAAAAATATCTTTAAGACCAAATTCAAATTTTCTGTCAATTATCTGTTGTTTTTATCATCACTGCTGTTTGATTGCAAATTAAATATGCATTGCAGATTTATTCAGGGTTATGCATATTTTAAAAGAATAAATAAGAAACTTAAGCAGTAGTTTGTTTTATTCACTGAGCGACAACTTAGTGTATCATTGTGGTATAGAAAGATATTTCATCAGCATAACAAAACATTTTCCTTTTGATTATCCACCTTGTGTTGAGTTAGAAACTCAGCTGTTATGTCACCCTTGGCTCTAGAAATGATTTCCCTCAAGTTTTTTTCAGGCAGGTCACTTTGTGGTTACTAAAGAGCTTGTAGTTTTATGTAATTGACTTAATTACCTACTAATCGCATGCATCAGTTGTATAACTTTTGTGAAGTTTGATGTGACCCAGATTTAGCATGTCCAAGTGCACATGCTCCATCTCAATTTGTGATGTTCATTTTTTTCTCCTTCACTGCCATTTCATATTGTATCATGTAACCATGACAATGGTTTTTTTTTTAAATACTTTTTGTTCTATTTTTTTTTTATATAAATGATAATGGAATTTAAAGGAAGGGGGTAGTAGATGTTGAAATAGTAAAACAAAATATATAATTTTTATCTACCATGTTCACAGTCAAAGTGTACTTAACTAATGCCATATTTTTCACTCTATTTATGTTGTCTTGGTATTTTGGTACGGATCTCAGATCTACTTGATTGTGTACCACTCTGTGGTTTTTGTATTGTCAGACTTGCGCCAAGCACTTTCTTACACCAATACCTTTGGCTAGAGGGGAGGCAGTAAATGTACTCTACAACCATTTTACTTCAATAATAAGTAGGAATTTCAGAGAAAAAACAAATGAAAATTGATTTTTTTTTATGCAAATTTTTTTTTTGGTGTCATATTTAATCACCATGATGGTTTAGGTTTTTTGGGATGGTTGTGGTCAGTTTAATGTTTCTCTAACAGAGCCAAGAGGTAGCTTACAAAACTCAATGTTTACTTAGTCCTGTTCTGTGAATGCTTCATGGTTGTCTGATGTCACATTCATGTATTCACAGCTCTTATTTCAATTAAACATTTAGAAAAACTTTTCACTCTCTTGTGTTTTTATTTGCAATTGGTTTGTAACCAGTTTTTTTGTCTAATTTGGGAGGCATTGAAAAGAAAATTGACGAAACCTACAATTGTGGTTAGCTTCATAAAAAGCTTAAACTTTTGACTGGTTGGGAACCAGGATAGGTGAAACTTGCTAACAGATTACAGGTCAGCTGTGTCAAGTCAAAAATAGGGATTTAACCTATTCAGACATCTTAAAACAGAAAGAGTAAAATCTACAACATAATAATCATTTTTATTATCTATTCAATGAATCATCCATTTATAACTGAATCTCAATCTGCAACAATCACTCAAATTCAGAATTACACAATTTTTCAGTTTTATTTGCTAAGAAATATCAGTTTTAAAAAAAGCTAATAAAATAATGAACACAGAATAAAGACTACATGTTTGCAGCTCCCTGCAAAAGCTTCTGAAACCTGGTAGCTATAGTTAGTGACGTGTCAATGAACCTCTCCACACAATTTGACACACAGTTTTCTGTCTTGCTGTCTAGTTTATCACGTGGCCTGTCTACACATTGCTCCCAACAGACATCTGCCAACTTGTGAACCTGAGAAAATATAACAACCATTCAATGAAATCAAAACAGCATAACCATTCAATGAAATCAAAACAGCATAACCATTCAATGAAATCAAAACAGCATAACCATTCAATGAAATCAAAACAAGATAACCATTCATTGAAATTTTTCTAAACTACCACTACCAGTGTAAGTTTAAATTTTTCAACAATTTTTTAAAGGAAAACAAAACTGCAAGTATATTAATTTTATGCACAAGTTAGAGATTTTTCAAAACTACCAGAAGGAAAGTTTAACATAATTCCCTATGGAATCTATGGGTTCTAATGAGGAAAAACAATATAGTGATGTTTACATAGCATTTTTCATAGGGGGGAGGGGTGAACATAATTTCTGTGATATTTCAGGTGTTTGTTTACTGATTTAACTTATTACCTGAGCTTGTAATTCTGCCTTTTGTGATTCAATCTGAATAAAGTTGGCAACTTCAGGATCCACTTCATCTTTATGGGGCAGAGAATCAAAGGATGACATTTTCATTCTGAAACCAAGATAAGTAAATGAGTCTAAATGACATTCAATACATGTATTTTCAATGTCAAAGAACAAACAATTTGGTTCACTGAGATGTGTTTAGATGGATTAAATAAAGTCATTTGCCTATAGTCTAAGTCTATAGGCCGAGTAAGACATTCTTTTTGTCTATTCTCAGTAGATGTACTATATAATATATCTTTTATTTTACTATTTTAAGTTTAACTTTACCCATACAAGTATAAGCCCATAATTAAATAACCCTGTTGGCCAGTGTAGCAGAAGTGGGGAGGGGGATTGCTGATAAGTATTTAAATTATTATTTGGACATTTTTAGAGTAGTGATAGATCTAGTATTAAAAACAGTAGTAGTAAAGTTCCCCTTTGTTTTAGAGTACTAATAGATCAGATCTAGGTATTAGTTAAAGCTCCCTGTTCTGTAACCTCACCATATGAAGGGATAGTGTGGTATTTTGGTAAGCACTTTGCCAGCAACCAATATTTTCCCTAATGTAAGTCAGGTAGGCCTACCCTCTGAATTAGGTTGGACTCTGAGATGTGCTAAGAAATAACTAAGAATCTAGCCAGGGACCCTTTAATAGTTAGTAATACTAAGTAGGCCTAAGTACAATATTAAATTATTAGCCTAATGAAAAGGTTAATAGACTAACTTTATTAATTTAATAAATAGTAATCGCACTAAAAAAAAGAGTACATTACAATTACTAGATTAGATCTAGTCTAGATCTAGATTATTTTAATATTTACCAGCCAAAGTCTACAAAAATATTAGGTAGATATCTCTAGAGTCTAGACAAACTAATAGATCTAGATCTAGGTCTAGTAATAGTAAATTTAGAATAGGCGTAATTTTAGTAAATTAATACATCACTATCAATATCAAATTAAATATCAATCAACTATCAACCAAGTAAAACTGATTCAAACTAAGAAAATAAGAAATAATCTTACGACTTATGACTTATGTATGACTTAGCCTATGTATGACTTAGCCGACTTAGATTAGCGCTTAGCAGTCACTAGCAGTTAGCCTGGGCTGTAGGCCTATTCAATTATTAATATTAGTCTTATCTTAAGTCTTAAGTTTTAAAAGTAAAAGGTAACGGTATGATGTATCGTATCCAGAGTAACTAAAAATCTAGACTGCTCTAGACTAGCGTTACGTCTAATTATTAAAAATAAAACTAAATGATGAGAAGTCAAATTTCCATTCACACATTTCACAAGGTCGACCTTTCAACTTTTATTACGATGCGGATGGGGCCTGAACTGCTAGTTTAGGAAGGATTAGATTTTAATTTTAGAAGCTGAGTTGTAGTGGAATATACTTCTATAGAAGTATAGCATAGATAGGCCTATGTCGTAATAAATATATATAATTTTGACAAACAAAATATAGATCTAGATCTACATACATTTTTTTTTACGTTGCTTAGCCTGACTTCTTAAGATTGTTTTGCGTCAGTCTTCTTCAATGTGTCTGTTATATTTTTAATCTACCAGATTTTTTTCCTCGGAGTTATCTTTTCTTAGGCTTGTCATGTATGGCTAGAATTAGGGTTAGCAAACAAATTGCCCTTTACTCCGGGAAAATGAATCTGTCAAATATACTGCCCTTACTAAATATTTAAAATGTCGGCCTAGATTTGAACAAAATAAATTAAAAACTAATGTCAACTATAGTCTAATATTTCTTTCAATGTTTCTTTTAACTGCCTGTTTCTCTGCATAAGGCTTTGATTCATAATTTTAGTATTGGCCCATAGATAGATCTAGATCTTTGCACTTTTTTTTTGTTGTAGCCATAGTTTCTTACGGGCATCTCCACGGGGGGGGGGGGGGGCACTGCCCACTCCCCCCCCCTCCCATCCCCGAAGCATGTCAACCGCCCTCCTCCCCGAACGAAATAGAATTTATAAACAAAATATATACTTCAACCCAGGGGCGTAGCGAGGGGGGGGGGCGGGGTGCGAACCGCACCGGGTGACACCATTTAGGGGGTGACACCAAGGCAAACAATAGCAAAATATATACAGAAAAATGATAATTTCACTTAATTAAATGATAAATCCCGGCACGAGTGGAGGGGTGGGGGGGGGGGGGGGGGTTGACACCATGACGTAAACCTGCTAATGATATAGAAAACATGCAACATCCAGCTGAATTTATAACTGAATATAGATTCAAATCACTAGTATTATCTGAGCACAGTTGAAAGCAATCACCGTGGGATTGACGGGGGGGGGGGGAGTTACATCAACTCAACGTTGCAATATATATGCCTGAGGAAAACGGGTTGGTTGAGAATCGTAATAAGCTTTGTTAATCCGTGTACGGGGTGGGGGGGGGGGGAATCAAATACTTCCAGAAGAAAAAAAATACTTGAATACATATACACATGCGTATACACATACTTACAAGCAAGTGTATTTGTAATATATATATATATATATATATATATATATATATATATATATATATATATATATATATATATATATATATTCCTTTCGGGGGGGTGGGGGGTGACACCATTAGGTGCCGCGCCGGGTTACACCCGCCCTCGCTACGCCACTTTATACTTCAACCAGTATTCACTCCCCTTGGAAATTGAATAATTACTAATGGTGTAGCCTATATAACTCTAATAAGCAATTAAATTACTCGGAAAAGCAGATTTTCCTATGAATGAAATAAAATGAGCTAGATTTCGTTGTGGCACATATATAGAACTATGCGTGAGTGTGTGTGAGTGCCTGTGTGTGTGTGTTTAAACGCAGACATAACGTAGTCTCGAGTTCGGATCCCGGGCTCGAGTCTGTATGTGCCTTCCCTGGGCCCATTCATCTCTGATGGGCACGCGACTCACGGTAGGGAAATAGAGGCCACAATATATGCCGAGGTCTGGCCCGTGTGTCTTGGACTCAAAAGGGATACGATAATTAGAGAGGGGAGGGTTCAACACCCGAAACACCTCCTGCCTACGCTACTGATAGAGAAACAAGCAGTGTTTCTTCCATACTTTTTTCTCCGGGGGGGGGGGGGGGGGCACTTGAAATTTTCGGGGGGGGGGGGGGGGCGGTAGACTTTCTTCGGGGGGGGGGACTGTTAAAAGTATATATTTTCTATATAAATTATATAAATTTCATTTCGTTCGGGGGGGGGGGGGATGCCTGGAAGAAACTCTGGTACAAACTTGAACATTCATCCTCATCTTTTCTCTTCTGTGCCCAAGACACATGGGGCCGCCACAAAAAGCTCTTCCCACCTTTGCTGGTCCCAGGCAATTTTTGTTGGCAGTCCCTTAAGACAGAGGCGTAGCGAGGGGGGGGGGGTGCATACCGCACCGGGTGACACCATTTAGGGGGTGTGACACCAAGGCAAAAAATAGCAAAATATATAGAAAAAAAATGATAATTCCACTTAATTAAGTGATTGATTCGAGTGGTAAATAGTGTTTTAAGAGGTGCAAATCGAAAGTTTGAAGGGAGGGGGGTGCAAATCAAAAGTTTGAGGGAGGGGGGGTGCAAATCGAAAATTGAAAGTTTGTCCCAGGGCGCCGGGAAGGGTAGCTACGCCTCTGGGGGGTGACACCATTAAGTGCCGCGCCGGGTGACACCCGACCTCGCTACGCCACTGCCTCAAGATAGTCCTGCCTTTGTCCGTTGTTTTTTTTTTTCTTCTGTGCACATCCACGTCGCCCTTGACCTTTCCCGTTTCATTTTACCTATGATGTAATCTGGATTCATCAGTCATAACATTATTGTCTTAAAATTGTCTTAAAATAAGTCGACAGAAAAGCACACAAATACCATCCGCTTGTGAGACTTACATACATCGCGTTTACCTTGCGACATGTATTCTATACATGTCCAGAGTAGGCTCCCCTATTTATGTTCTGATTAGATTAACTTATGGCGAAGTCCAGATTGAAGATTATAGTGTAAAACGGTTCTGAGGTCATCCATAAATGACGTCACGCTTTTTGACGATTTTTACCTCCCCTCTCCCCTCCGTCACGCATCGTCACAAAAAGCCAGAACCCCCCCCCCCCCTTCCTAAAATGACGTCACACCTCAGCCTACAACCTCACTCAAAATTGCAGTTGAATTTTTTTGCGCAATTTCCATACTGGAATTGCGATTATTTTTTTTTAAACATCGATATTTTTTTTAAAATCTTGTCTGAACTCTCTCAATATAGAGTATTTTAATCAATTCCTTTTGCAATTTATTAAAACAGTTTTCTAAAACGCGAAATAACGTCTAAAACTCGTTTTCTAACATTGCTTTTTTTATAATGCAAAAGTGTGACGTCGCACCATCTGAACCCCCCCCCCCCCTCATCACACACCGTCACAAAATTACGGACCCCCCCCTCCCCCTACGAGTGTTACGTCATTTATGGACGACCCCTCTACAAAATATTATTATTATTCTTTACAAGTTAGGCCTATTTTTAACAGATTTGTTGGTTTTATTTTTTTCATTCTTAAGGCCTACATTATAGTTTGATACACACATTATTTTACTTCCGTGTCTATTCAAACGTTTTTGCGATAGCAGTTTAAGAAGACATGCACAGGAACGCATTCAACTGAGACAAGTGGGGGAAAAAAATGACAGACGCAATTTAATGTTGAAACTGTCATGGACGCTAACCGGTCTTTCAGAAAATATGTCTATCAAACCGGAAATTTAAAGTGCACTCTCTGGTTTCAAATTAACAACGAGAAAAATGTCCGAAAGAAACCCCCTTCCCCCGAGAGCACGCCAACCCCTCTCCTCCGAACGAAAAAGTAAAAGTATTACATTTTTTTATAGAAAAAATCTGACACTGATGGTGGTGCCAACGCCAACTATTTTGTGATTTTACAAATAAAGTAGGAAAAAGAATAAAAACTGTAAGAATTATAGGACTACGGTCATTTTCGGAGAAGACAGGGAAGTAACTTCGTATTAAGGAGAAGAATGTGATTTTAGTGACGTTATAAGGGGGCAAGGTTAGTTGGCGTACGTAGATGCAAACATATGATAAATGGCGTCACTCTACCAGGCCGAGTAGATGGGGGCCTTCGTGTGACGAGGGAGTGGGTTTGTTAGAAAAAGTCAGAAACACTGCAGTCGGCTAAGTTATTTTATCGCTTTAGAATAGCCTAAATGTTTTGTTTCATGGGTCCAAGAAAGGGCAGATCAGGTTTAGTCTTCACTGTTCATTTCCATCGGCAGTCATCACCAGTGTTTCTCTCAGACTTTTTTCGTAAAAGTATTTTTTCTATATAAATCCTATTTCATTCGACGTCCCCCCCCCCTCCCCCTCGAAGAGATGCCTGTAAGAAACTCTGGTCATCACCCCCACCCACCAGAGGCGTAGCGACCCCTCCCGGCGCCCGGGGCGAACTTTCATTTTGGCGCCCCCATATATATATATATATATATATATATATATATATATATATATATATATATATATATATATATATATATATATATATATATATATATATATGTATGTATGTATATATGCGTGTGTGTTTGTGTGTGCGACAGTCTGGACAAAAATTAACAATTACGCTGATTGTCGTTCCCTAAAACTTCACTGGACGCCAATTAAATTCCCCTTAAGATGCCGAAACGAATAAAAAGTAGAAAATCAAAAGAGCTAGAACAGTGGGCTCCATCGAACTCGAGAGGTTCGGTAATTCCGTCTCAGGGCTTCCGCGGATGTCAAGACCAGAGTTTCTTCCAGGCATCTCGGGGGGGGGGGGGGGGTCGAACGAAAAAATTCTACCACCCCCCCCCCCCCCGAACGAAATGACATTTATATAATTTATATAGAAAATATATACCTTTAACAGTGTCCATCCCCCCCCCCTCCCCGAAGAAAGTCTACCCCCCCCCCGAAAATTTCAAGTGCCCCCCCCCCCGGAGAAAAAAGTCTGGAAGAAACACTGGTCAAGACACACACCCGACTCATAGGATTCACGATCGGATTTTGTCATTGTGGACGATACAACTATTAAGGAGGGTTCGGTGGTTGCGCATATGAAACTGGTTGGGTTCAGTACTCCAAAAAGTTAAGAACCACTGCTTTAGAGTTATTTTGTAGAAGGTGCAAGCCTTATTTGGTCTACTTTTGGTCGTGTCTTTAGAACAATTTCAATAATAGTAGGCCAATATTGCAATTTAGAATTATCAGTTAGGTTGAACAAAGTAATAATCAGTACAATATACTAATTTTCTTCTCTCTTAAAATTTTGGCAAAGAGTGTCGCTTCCCATCCACCCGCTCCGACAGTCTGCTAAATCTTTTTTATGTTACACAATCGTAAAATACCCTTTAGTTCAATGGGTTTCTTTTCTGGGTGATATCGGTTATTTATTCCTTAATCCGGTGTGAATTTTTCAGATTTTAGCCTTCGAAAAAGCGCCCCCCCCCCCCATCTAGTAAAGCTGGAAAGCCGTTTTTCCAGTCACTGTTTATTAAAGATATACGTTTTACAGTTACACAACCAAGGTAGAAAACAGTTAAATCAGTAAAGGCTCCCCGCCGTTAAATTTCTTTACTTTGACTGTTTATGATTCAAAATTGCAGCTTAAAATGAGCTTTTAATTTTTTTTTCTACCCCTTTTGGCGCCCCCCTAGGGTCGGCGCCCGGGGCGGCCGCCCTCCCCGCCCTCCCCTAGCTACGCCCCTGCCACCCACCACCAAATCTCTCATGATCCCGTACCACTATCATTATTATTATTAATATTATGATATGAATATAGAGGAGGGCCTGCTATTGATTGTATTATTTGTATGGCACGTTTTTAACCCCATCATACAATGGTGAATTACATCATAGTTGTATTTATAGCTTCGGTTTTTCCGTTAGGCTAAAAAAAAAATTAGGTTACGGAAAACGAGTTGTAAACAACCGAGCCACTTTACAACCAGCGATTCTGCACATAGTGTCACACATCGTGTTGTAAAACTATTTGTAGCCTGCTAGATCTAGATTTTCATATAATGTAAGTCATCTTCTTTTTAAAACGTCGCATTTGATTCTGTATAATAAACGAATAAGAATATGGAACATCGACATTGTCAATTAATTAAAGTTAGACGTCATTATTAATACTAAATAAATATTTATAGAAGAGAGACAAGATCTATTTTCAATTTTGTTAGTGGTAGACCTAGAGTAGATCTTTTTATTTTTAGTTCCCGGATGCGGTCTCTACTGACTTATTAGCTCGATGACTCAACATCTATAATTCTAAAAATCTTTGATGAAAGAAAATATTTAATAACAGCAAGAAAAAAAGAACAACAACAACAATACAAAAAAACAACAACAAAAAAAAACAATGAACAGATGATTATTATTTGTATTAGTCACTATTTAGATCTAGTGATGGATTAATTTTAACCGCATGCTCTTAGTCTAGACTCTAGAGTCTAGGCCACTCTGGGCTAATCCTTCTTTAGAAGTGGGTCAAAATTGAGTTACAAGATTACAAGATTTGCCACAAAACCACAAACAGACATTGTGAACTAAATAAAAACGTGTAAAAATGTTACAGCTATTCTTAGAGGCGTAGTGAGGGTGGGGGTGCGGACCGCACCGGGTGACACCATTTAGGGGGGGGGGGGGTGACACCAAGGCAAAAAATAGTAAAATATATAGAGAAAATTTGAGGGGGGGGGGGAAGGTGCAAATTGAAAGTTTGAGGGGGGGGTGCAAATCGAAAATTGAAAGTTTGTCCCCGGGAAGAGTTGCTACGCCTCTGGGGGGGTGACACCATTAAGTGCCGCACCCAGGTGACACCCGACCTCGCTACGCCACTGGCTATACTTATACTATATTATAGTACAAGCCATGGGCCTTTGGAAGTCATGTGAGTGGGGTCAGGGGGGGGGGGGCAATTTTAGGAAAACCAAAGATATAAACAAATCGGAAATTAATAGTGCCACCATTTATGGAGAACCTCTAATATAATAAATATTAGACCATGTGTAAGCCATAAGTGGATTTTAACTTTCAGTACTTCCGGGAGGGCTTGATGCATATATAGGCCCATGTATATATATATATATATATATATATATATATATATATATATATATATATATTTGTGTGTGATGTGTATGTGTGTGCAAGCCTACAGTAAAACCTTTCTTTCACATTACTAGCCTCTGCCAATTTTATGTACCTAAAATGATGAATTACCATTGCTCCACATAAGTTAACCAAATGACAATCTACTAAGTATTAAGAGTTTGTATTTGTGCGTTTTTCTGTTTGTACATTTTTTCAGTTGCACATTTTCCATTTCACTTTTTTCTGGTAACCAAAACTTGGTATTTATAAGCAAGACATCATCTCCCCTGTTGGTGAGCAATACTTCATTGTTTTGGGTTTTAAAGTTTGATTATAAAGTTATATAATACATCTAGCTGACAGGAGGAAAGCAGATGTCAGTTGCTATGGACACCAGATAATCAAGCTTGTAAACAAACAACCTTTTTGTTGATAATTAGTCCTGAGTCATTGTATACTTTTACTAAAATCTTGTCATTTTATACTTCCAGATTGTAGACAGGAAAACATAGAGTTAGAGAAACTGAAGCCAAACCGGAAAGCATAATGAATATACAATTAAACCTAGTTATATTATTTATTTTCCTAGCACAGGTATGTCATCCTACATTGTCTGCTTTTTTCTTTTAATACTCACAGTCTGTATGCTTGGAAGGGGAGACACTCTTCACAGGAAAATAGCCAAATATCAGTTGATGTTCCTATTTATAGAAATATTAATCAGATTGCTTTCCCCTTGGAAACACATGTTCAGGGGAATTAAGACATCGGATGTTGCTAAATAGTAAGGGAGATAAACTAAATAAAAAAATGAATGATTTAACCTGCTTAAGGGCACATGACGGAGAAGCTGCAGGCAGAGGCAGGATTTTTTTGGGGGACTGCCAGGAAAATTGCAGGTGACTGACAAAAGTGGAGGGCGCTTTCTGTGGCGGCATCATGTGTCTTGGGCAGAAAAGGGAAAAAATCACGAACCTGCTTAATATTCCAATGAAAACATTCAGGATGAGCTTAGTAATGCTGAAAAACTTTTCAAGTTCAATTTCTTTTTTCACTTGAGCCTTATAAAGTTGTAAATATCTCTTTTCAGTTTTTTGACATAACTTGCACCAGCTGTCCTAAATTGTAAGTTTTTTTGTTCTTTTTTATCATTGCATTGCTTTTTTTTCTATCTAACAATTGTATAACTCTGTACCTTAACGCTACTGTTGTTGTTATAGATCCCACATTTTTTATACATTTAAAAAAGGATCAGACCATCAATATGACCCACCTTTATTTACCTAATTATATCATTTTAATATTATTTTTTAGTACAATTGAGAACAATAGCACCGGGAAATGTATGGACTGTAAAATTTGTCAAAGCAACAACTCCATAACACAGCACAATGAATGCAAACAAAAACATCCTGAGGAAATAACAGGTCAAGGCTTTGCTTGGTGCACTGGCTTGGCTGACAAATCACCAAGTAAGTTGTATTTAAAAGCATCCAGCTATCTTAAGCCAGAATCACATTGTTTTACTTCATTATCCCTTTTATGTAGTTGTTTGAAATAACCCAATATTGCACCCCCCCCCCCCACCAAGTATATATTATTATGTTTCAAATAATATATTTCTATTGTAATTATTATCATTGCAGCACTCTTCTAATCTATGTTGTAAAAATTAGAGAAAGTTGAAAATGAGGGGGCCTCTACAACCCCCCCCCCCCCTCCCCTCCCCCATGTCTTGCTAACAAGATGGATCAGTCATTTAATAAATCATTGTATGCTGTATGTATGTACTGAGAGAAGAAATTTTTAAGGCAACATATAATACATATGCAGGGCTTATTGGGCCTATTATTAGCTGCCAGGTATTCCAGAGATAAACCGTATTCTGACTTAGTCCCCAATCCTAACCCTATCATTAAGCCTAAATCAATGAAAAAAATAACTGAGCATAATATTGTATTGACTTGCCTTTGATCAGGAAAGTAGCACATAACAGTGTCAGTCTATTTAATAGTTTCCCATATTTGATTTTTAATATTTTTTTTAAAGTTGTAACCTAATATCTGTATTCCCCAACATTTTCATCATTGAATGTTATAAATATTTTATTCTTCATCATGTTTATCTTTGAATGTTGAAAATATTTTTCTTTCCCAGATTGCTCAAAACTGATTGTTAAATATGGAAACGTCAATTGTAGCAACTATTTTTATGTGTATTCAACGTGCGAAGTCCTCTGTAATGCTGGGTACTCCATTGAGAACAAAATTGTAACAACCTGTCGTGACGATCTCCACTGGAACGTATCAGCTAGTGACTTGACTTGCATCAGGAAAGGTTGTGTTTTGTTAACAAATTTTAATTCTTTGCCAAAAGCTGGGATATGGGAAGGTGGGGGGGGGGGGGGGATGTATACGCGCTGTTCACGGGACAAACCTGTATTCACTGATCACCATATACATTTTTGAAGTATTCATAGGTTTCAGAAGAGGAATAAGAAGTAATTAATAGGCCTTTGTTAAATAAATATTTAAAAAAAAAATAAGCATATCATTATTAAAAGTTGTTCTTTAGACTTCTTTTTCAAAATGTAGAAAGATATATTGACACCCATAAAATTTTAAAGCCTTAATACAGACTTCCCATATAGGTAGATAAATTTTCCACATATTTATTTAATGTAACTTACTAATATGGGGTCATCCATAAATGACATCACACTCGTAGGGGGAGGGGGGGGGGGTCCGTAATTTTGTGACGGTGTGTGATGGGGGAGGTTTCAGATGGTGGGCTACAGGACATTACCCCCCTGGATATTTCCCCCCCCGGACATTTCCCCCCCCCCCCCCCCGTATTTACCCCCCGGAGCAATTACCCCCCTGTCAATTAACCCCTGTCAATTACCCCCCTGGGGAATTACCCCCCTCCCCCCCCCCTCAAGTTAAAATCCTAACTAACTAGAATTTTATACCTATATACTACTTTAATCCAAACCTTAAGAAAAAGACCAAAACCTAAGCATCCACCTTAGCCTAAAACTTCACACAAAACCAAAACCAAAGCTAGACACAACCCTAACCCTAAAACTACCTCTAACCCTAACCCTAGCCTTAACCCTAACCCTAACCCTAATCTTAACCCTAACCCTAACCCTAGCCCTAACCCTAACCCTAGCCCTAGCCCTAGCCCTAACCCTAAACCTAGCCCTAAACCTAACCCTAACCCTAACTCTAACCCTGTCCGGGGGGGGGGGGGGTAATGTCCTACTGGGCGGAGGGTAATTGACAGGGGGGAAATGCCCTGTTCCCCAGATGGTGTGACGTCACTTTTTTGCATTATAAAAAAGCAATGTTAGAAAATGAGTTTTAGCCGTTATTTCGTGTTTTTGAAAACGGTTTTAATAATTTTTTGTAGGAATTGATCAAAATACTCAATGTTGACAGAGTTCTAACAAGATTTTGGAAAAATATCGATGTTTTAAGAAAAATTCAACAGCCATTTTGAGGGGGGTTGTAGGCTGAGGTGTGACGTCATTTTAGGGGGGGGTCTGGCTTTTTGTGATGACACGTGAAGGAGGGGAGGGGGTAAAAATCATCAAAAAAAGCGTGACGTCATTTATGGATGACCCTTATATATATATATATATAATGTTTAAGTTTAATCTAAATTTATCACCTAACAGCCAAAATCTCCTTACAGTTGTGCCTGACCCGCCTACTATCTCGTCTTCTCATCAAACTGCACTTGTCAGAGAATATACTGATGTGACCTTGACCTGCAATAACAAAAGTGACCTTGTTGGTGATGTGTTCTACACGTGGACGTTTAAGAATGAGATTCTCAGTAACAGGCAGAAAACATTGACACTCAACCCAGTCAGGCTATCAGACGCAGGGTCATATTACTGTACAATTGTGGACAGGTTAGGCACCTCACGGCCAAGTATAGGATACTTGCTTGATGTGAGCAGTACATTTGATAAAGGTGGGGTTTTTTTTAGTTTAAATAATTCTAACTGAAATTATTATTTTAAAAAGAAATGACACAATTGATTTTTATTTTTATTATTAAAAATAAAAACAATATTTAAAAAAACCGGGAGTGATCTCCCCTAAACTTTCTCGAATATTCTTATATAAAATAACAGGGGATGGGAACTCGGGCTATAGACATGATTTTTAATCCATTTTAAATACTTAAAGTTTTAAAAATAGAATAAAATCTCGTAGACAAATTAATTGCACACCAAGTGAACGCGAATAAAAAAGCGCATAATAGTGCGCAATATTATTAGTACTTTTAAAATTTACATTAGTTTTTTGAGAAATCGGAAGTAGCGTAAATAAGTACTTCCGGTCAACGAAAAATTCTCAAAATTTGACAGAAGGTAGAGAATTAGATCTTTTACTTACATATCAAATTTCATTTATCTATCTGAAATAGTACTCAAGTTATAGGCTTTTGAAAAATTCAAAGTAGAAAAAGTACCACTTCCGGTTATCCGAAATCGCTCAAAAGTTGATACGGATCTACGATTTTGATAAAATACTTATATATGAAATTTCATCAACCTAGCTGTAACGGTACTCAAGTTATCGTGTTTACACACGGACACACACACACACAGACACACAGACATACGGACAGAATCGCAAAGCCCAGTTTTTCAGACTGGAATACGCATAAAACCTTTTAATTTTGATAAATCTGGATTGATAATTTTTGCCCGATTAAAATAAGTCCTCTATACTTCGGATGTGATGAAGGACTGAGGTGTAATACGGTGAAAATAGTTAAAATTTCAAGTGATTTTTGTGCACGATTACAATACTTTCTCTATACTTCGTATATACGAGAAAGTAAAAAAAGAAAAATGTCTTCACATAACAGTTTTTTGTGTGGTTTAAATCTATTTATCTGTTTAATTTAGTTGTCAGACTTTTATTAGAATTAATTTAGAATTTAAATGACTGGCACACCATTTATAAATTTTCAAAACTTATTTTTGACAGATGAGCTGTTTTGGAAAATTTGTAAGTATAACTAAATCTTTCTTAGTAAATAATTATTAACTAATGAAGTCAATTAGAAATAATCAAGACAGTATTCTCATAAAAAAAGTAAGCAGAAAAGTGCATGTAAATGTAAAATACCAGCTCACACCTACCTTCAACACCCTACCACCCCCACCCAGCCTTCACCACCCCTACGCCCAGCCCACACTTTACCACCCCTCCACCCAGCCCACCCTTCTCCCTTCTCCAGCCCCACCCATCTCAGCTGGCAATAATCACAACCAAACAAAAAAAGCAACCTAGCTGAACACAACTCAACAAATAATACAACACAATCTAATTCAATAGGATACTTTTAAATATTCTTAAAACTAATATGAAATGTAGTACCCATTACTTTTAAATATTCTTAAAACTAATATGAAATGTAGTGCCCATTACTTTTAAATATTCTTAAAACTAATATGAAATATAGTACCCATTACTTTTGCACATGTTTAACATGGAAAGCTCTCTATTAAAATAAGCTGTCAAGAAAGCACCTGCGCCCCTCCCCACCCTCCCCCACCCTCTCCTAACTCAAGGCCCATTGACTCATGTCCAGCCCCATTTGCTGACACACCCCTTTTCACAGGAACCAACCCATTTTCTCACAACATGATCAAATATTATTCTGTCCTATAGGATCCTCTACAAAACACTTTAGCTCAGATTGAAATTGTAATACATCTCTTTAATGCACCTTTTGTTTACTCTAATACTAGTTAATTAAATACTGTAAAAACTTTATCATTGGTTCCTGTGCTGATATAAGTAAATCATAATGATGTAAAAACTTCAAGAAATGACAAATCTTGTTGAAATCATTAAAATATGAGAAATATAGTCTTGTTCTTTTTGTCTTATCCCCTAATTAGAGATTACTGATTCTTTTGGATTATTTTTATTACTTATTCTAACAGAGACCTTAAAGACCTAATACACCATTTGTTTCGTAAAGATAAGACAAATGTTTGATTTTCTTATATGGAAAATATATGTAGAACCCTATGTTCATTTCTCAAACACTGTTTTTGGTTACATATTCTTTTTTTTGCCCGGTAAAAAACTAGTTCATACACTTTATTTAACATACTGAACTTTTGCTTATTAGGATTTATCTCATCCATCTTCACAGTTGCATCTATTGTAAGTGCCGTTTTAGTAACATTTGCCTTGTTGCTGATCATATTTTGCGGAAGAAAAATTAAGCACCATCTTCACTGTGTTTATATGAGATGTGTTGAGTGTAAAAGCAAGAAAGAAGTGACAATTGAATTGGGAGAAATTAGTTCAGTTGGTAAGTTTTCAAGTTACATTTCCATTGAATTCAGTTGGTGAGTTTTTAATTTGCATTTTGGTTGAATTCTGTTGGTAAGTTTTCAATTTGCATTTTGGTTGTTAACTGAAGTATTTTTTGTTTAAAATTATTCTGGTACAGTTAACATTTAAAACTTTTATCCCCCACTTTAGATAGTGTTAACAGTGAGAAGAGAGATCCGAACTCTTCCTGTATGGGTGCTTGTCCAGATCCACCTGATGACCCTAGACGTCCATTTCTGGAAGAACCAACTCACCCCTCATCTGAAACATATTTAAAAACCCCTTTTTACGTTCAACCAGATAACCCAAGCCCAGAAGAATTATGTATGTAGCATTTGATTTTTTTAAATTCATGTATGAAAAATGTAATTTATTAAGGTTTTATGTCAGTATTATTTTATTTTATAATGATAAATGTAGGCCCTACTTAACTTTTAATTTCCTAATGAAGTGCACACATTTTAGTTCACTTTGTTGAGTAGTTTTGTGTTTAACAACTTAAGAAAATGTGCATTCAGCTAAACCAAACATGAACAGGTTCTCAAAGATTCTTGAAATAAAAAATATCTTAGCCATGACGGCAAAAATAAATATGCAAATTTCAAATGAATTGTTTTTTTCACTATGATTGAACATTATTAAACTCATTTAAATTTAGCTTTTTGTTTTAATTAATCTTAAAATGTAATTGTTACCTTAATGGTATTCACAGTAGCCACAGCAAACAATGACCAAAAGGCACTTAGGAAACTACTTAATAATGCCGATATGTTGAAGGAGATAAAGAAATATCTGGACCAACAAGCAGACAGGAACAGAGACAAACCAACTTTTATTCAGTTAGCAGAGTTCATGAAGATGGATGATGATCGGATAAATAACCTAATGTATGCTATTATTTAGATAAATAATTTAAAAATTAAAAATTAATGATTAATTAATCATAATTAATAAGATCTTACTAATCAGCTAGAGATGAATCAGTTTGATCCAGAAGGTTTAAAAGTAATTATTGTTCTCTGTGATAAAACAATTTATTTATGTGTATATGTTAAGTAAATTAGACACAATTTAATTTATTTATAGTTCATAATTCATAATTTTAGTAATAGTAGACTGCTTTGGTCAGATGAAATAAATTTATTGAAAGTTTAATTCATAATTTTAGTAATAGTAGACAAAGTATTCTGCTTTATTGATTTTGTCAGTTGAAATAAGAGGGTCATTGAATTTATTTAAAGTTTAATTCATAATTTTAGAAATTGTAGACTGCTTTATTGATTTAGTTTGCGGTGGTAAGTGTGTTGTTTTTGTTTTCAGATATTGTTGCACACGAGAGGCTGGCAGTCCGACCGAAGAATTGTTGAGACTAATGTGCATGGCTGGACATGGAATCAACTATTTGTATTCATTTTTAGAAAAATACCCTTCCTTGCATGAACTTAAAGAATCTATAAACAGCTCATTTTTGCCACCAGAGTGACAAATTCTTTCTGAATATAGTTATTAGCTAAGGTTCGATAAGAGTGGCAGCACATCGTGCTAGATAAAGCACATGACAAAGTGGCTCATGACAAAGTGGCTCATTATAAAGCTGCACTGCCAATTAGGCTGTGATTTTCAAGGACCCAGCAACCATTTCTCTTTTGGTTGTTGTAAAACTGGCTTCAAGACCTTGCCAGATTTTTTCAACAATGCATGTAAACAAAATTGCTAAGTTGTTATAACTTCTTCAGGACATCATATCATACAGGAACGCAACAACCAATTATATTTGCTTGTAAAACTGGTTCAAAATCTCAGCCAAACTTTAAAATAAATGTAAGATATTAAATTGACCAGAGTTTATAAATGTCTAGAGCCCTACATGGATTTATCCAGCAATGTCTACATATCCATTGGATTAATTTTATAGACAAAGTCACACCATCATCTCAGCTCCTGTACCAGAATCCCATAATTCCTTGCAGGTCAATGACATTGTCAACAGACTTGATGCATTTCAAGGGTGCATAATTGTATGCTGAACTTTCAATTGATGAAAATTGATTTGTGATTATTTAAAAAATAAATAGCTATGAACTGAGTCTGACTCAACAAGTCAAGCAAGTAGCATTATACTTGGATAATTAAACATTCCACAGAGAGGTACTACCCTCATACTTGCCAAAGATCATTTTAATTACAGCCTATTAAAAAATTGGATAAAGCCAACTTGCTATGTTCAGTTGATTGTAATTGTTATGTATCTAATCAGTACCTGTTAAACATTTAGCCTATTTTGTCATCTCGCTACCCTCTAATGTGAAGAGCCAGTTGACACATATCACATGTAACCATATATATATATTTTTTAAATGATAACATTTTACTTATTTTTATTTTACTTAGCAGCTTTGTAAAAACTCAATTGTCTCAATTTGCTTAATTGTCTGTTTTTTTGACAATAATTAGGAAATTGTATATGACACTTACGTCCATAAGAAATAAAATTTGTTGTAGATAATATTTATATACACCTATTTTTGTAAAAAATATTTAAATATTTGATTTTGTACAATATACACAATATACTTAAATTTTGTGTATAAACAAATATATTATTACAAATAAAGCTAAGTGTTTTGAGAACAACAAATTTCTGTTCTCTATAGGGCTGGTAAGTAGGTCACCAACCACTTATATGGCTCATGCAGGTTTTATTGAGCCATAGAACTGGTTGGTGACCTACTTACCAGCCTTATAGTGAATAAATGTTATTTTGAATAATCTTGTTTACTTAATGCAAATCTGTAATGCAAACATATAAGTACATTTTGTTGTTAAATGTTTAAGCAGTTTAAACTATTTTTACATAACAGATTCTACTTTGTTTTACTCCCTTTAAAACATTGTTGAGAAAAAAAAAATGAAATAATTATGAATTTACTTAACTGTATTTCAAAAGGATTTTATTTAAAATTATCTAATTTTTGCATTAAAAAATAGCAGTCTGTGATGATGGACTAATCAAAACATTGTTCTTCTGCAGCTGATAGATAAACTTTAATTTACGTTAAATATCAAAAAGGGTGTTCCTAGGGAAGCGGGGTTTGAATCATTTTGTAATTGTGTTAAAAAGTGTTATTTTGAACATTAGAGAGAGAAATGCTGTACAACAATCAGGTGGTCAAGAGCAATGTCTATGTTTTACTGATGACCTTTTAACAGCAACATGAAATCTGTTGTCTTTGATTCTGAGACTTGGAGAGTTACACAAACAAATCACAATATGCCTTTTGTAAATTAATGCCTGTGTTATATGTTGAAAAATACCAACACCAAACTATGGAGAGAAAAAACAGGCAAGAAACAGAAAAGCTCAAAAGGAGATTAATCTCGCACACCTTGCAAAATCCAGCGAACCTTGCTAGACAGGCATTAGATTGGAATCCTTTAAGAAAGTGAGAAGTTAAGAGGAAGAATCACATGGAAAAATCAATTGTCTGAACCACAGGAATGATGATGATGATGAATTTTGTATAACAATTTTTTTAACTGATTGTTTTTGTGTGTGAAAATGACTGGTATGCAGCATAATTGTATGCACTAGGAAATGACGCAGCAATCATCATTTCCACCACAACTAAAGAGTTCCTATTGACCATATGTTGATGTAACACGCTGATTGGCTAGTATGTTGTTAACTGCTAGAAATGCTATAGTATATTGGACCGCATGTTGAAATGTAATCCTGCATTGTTGGATGCAAGAATTGGGTAAAAATGTACTATTTTTTTGTATTATCCAACTGCTAAGCCTCAACATAATTTATTAATATTTTTATATATATTTTACAAATATATATTTTACAAATAATGTAAACCTAAATTATTTTTTAAACTTTTTAACTATGTATAATGCTTTTACAAAAAAATAAGTTTTTTTATTCTATTTGTTGAACAATTCGTTTCGGTTAAACTTACCACACCTTGTAATAGCTCCAACACACTATGTCTGGAATTGAACATATTACAAAAATTCTGTGTCAGCCACATATTGGATATTTTACTGCTCTATTTTAAAATTTTCTATTCTGCATTATTAAATAGTCCCTTTTCCCAAACCACATTTATTTTTTTAAATGTAAGATGTGTATCTCATTTTTATGCAAAAAGTGTTTTTTTTTATATTTTTATAACAACTGTTAAATTACAGATTTTATTAAGCTTATTTATTTACGTTTTCAAAATTTGTAACAAAATGTTTACAGTACCTACAATGACCAGTAATGTTGAACTTTGTCTTAACTATTTGATATGTAAATTTTAGATAGTTAATGACCTACCAGTAATAAAAAATAATGCTTTATTTGATTGTTGGAGTCATTATAGGTGTAAGGAGATTCTTTTTAAAGCTTGTGTGATCAAATATTGATCCAAGGGGAATCCAAATAAATATAAACAGGCTCCATTATGTACAATTAAAAAAAAGGTTGAGACAAAAAAAAACCGCTGCATTTTAAAAGTTTTTATTTATGTAAAGTTACCACAAGTATATATTTTAATTAAGTGTTACAAAAATATCAAATTAAGTCTTTAAAAGCAAGCACTTCTGTTAAGTTTTATCTATTGATGTGCTTACACATGCACAATTTTACAATGAAGGTTTCAGCAAAAACTTTAAAAAAAAAAATTGGTTTAAATTTGGTTTCACTTTTATCACCTCAACACATCAATAATAGTTGATAATATAAATAACAATGTTAATTAAGTACAAGTGCTGGAATGATTATACTCTTTGATACAGTAATACAATGTGTACAAGTTTTATTTACAATAAAATAATCAGAAACAAATAAACTGATTAACATGGAATGGGGTAGCCAAGTAAACAAATCCACCAAAACTGTTTAAATCCAGATACTAAGTTGGGACTTTGAACACATCCTTGCAATGTTCTCATTGTGACATAGATCTAGTATTAGTTCACAAAGTAATTCATGCATGTACCTGTTTAGAACTGACAGACAGTAGAACAGAGGAAATAGAGCTCACTTGTTTGTAGAACTCTCAAACCCCAGGGATGTGCTACAGATTCCAAACTCAGAGGTGTACCCATGTGCTCTACTTCTCTGCCATGCCATTCCAGTGTCAGTTCATGGGATCTTCTAACACTGACATAGCTTCAGTTAAACTGAACAACACATAGGAATGTACACATCTACTTCCTATGAAGACATGCCCTGCATGGGTTCTCTTTAAAAAAAATATTTAAATAAGTTAAATGCTCATGTAACTTGTTATGGCCAATTATAGATTTAAAATAACATGACTATTAAAAAAGTGGATGTTTTAATAAAGGGTTTTACTGGTAGATATTTGTTTTTTAAATAGTAATTTTCTGACTAGGACTGGATACCAATTATTTATTGCAAGGTTTCGAACTAATCTTGGCAGTTATCAGTTACTTACATTTGCTAAAGCAAAGATTTAAGTATAAATATTTTCAGCAAATTGATATAAACCGGTATAAAATAAATGCAAGCATAACAATTTATATTTGATATAAGTATTATAAGGCACTAAGTATACAACATAGTTCTACATAGTTTAAGTAGGCAAGTTTAGTTGGCAAGTTTGCCCATCAAATTTTAAGGCATGGCAGAGTTTTGGGAGCTTTTGCTGACAAATCTTTTGGGCATCCTGTGGAGGTAATTATAAAATATTCAGTTCTAGATGTTAGAAAGTTATAAAAAAGGTTGTAACAAAATATTAAGTTTCCAATGTTAGAAATGCTGTTACAAAATACTAAGTTTTCTATGAGAAAAGGTATTTACAAAATAAACTTTGGATATTTTCAAATGACTTAGTGAGAGTTCTTTAAATTGAACTTTTTGAATCAAAATTAATGTGAGAATTAACAAAAAGGAGAAAGTCAACTTACTAATGTGGCATCTCTTCCCATAGAATCCAGTGTTGGAGCATTCACACTTATAGGTTCTTGTATGATTCTCCGTCATTATAGGGGAGCAGACGCCATTATTTTTGCAAGGCTTCATTCGCTCACAAATGTTACTCTTGCCTAAAACATATTTGAAATATTTTCATATTAATTTTTTCCACCCTTATTTTTATTAATGTTAAAATAATTTTCATTTAGTTAATGTATAAAAACTAATTTACAAAGAAAAAACTACTATTATATCTGGCAAAGAATATCAGTATGATAATGAACTTTCACTGGGTTAGGCCAAGTCTGTTTTTTTTTAAATTATTATAAACTGCAAACGTAAAGCTGTTATAACTGTGTTGATGACTTGAAGAGCAGTTAGACAAACCCCTGGTCAAGCCCCGATTCAACACGCCAGTTAGGAACTAGCTGCATATTTCATTATGATCTCACCATTAAAATCATTCATGCATTCTTTCAGATTGTCATAAGGAAAAGGATTTTCACATCCAACAGCTACTCCTTCAACGCAAGATCTTTTTTTATAGTCAACTTTGAACCCCTGGAATTTTCTACTGCATATGTAGTCCTGAATAGTCTCTGCAACTTCAAAAAAATTTAAACAATCACAATTACAGCAAAGAAATAGAATAAAAAAATTATTTAAAACAAACGGAAGCAAAAGAGAATATCTTTGGGAACATGTAGGTGAGAGGTGGTAGAGGAGATGCAGGCCACAGGCAAAGTCTGGCATGAGCTCAGGTGGCTTGCCAAGGACAGGGATATTTAAAGAATCAATAACATAAAACTTGCAAATGCAGAGAACATGAACAAATGTTTGCTTTGAGAATTTGTTTCAGTAAACCAATTTCCATGGTAAACTTTGCCATATTTTAATCAATTTTGCTAATATAAATATTATAAAAAATAATTGGCCTACTTAAAATGCATATGCGACATTTCTATTTTCTTTATGATTTATGCTAGCCAATCGAACTGCATTATGTTTATGTCTTCATTACCAGATGAATATGAGGAAAACCCTAAATGTTTTTGTCTTTAAAAAATCAATAAGTCATAAAACTTTAAAAGCCTGATCTACAATATCTATATTTATGTCAACATATGTTAGAACTTGACAGTGAATCAGTTTTAGTCTTAGATCTAGTATTTTCAGGGGTTTAGGCAAAATGTGAGGCGCAAATTGATGAGGCAGTGAAATGCGAGAAAATATTTGCGGAACAACAGATTAAGACACACTTTGTGAAACATTTATTTTGATTTCATGCTTTTGGCTGTTGTTTTCTTGGGATGTGCGAGAAGAAAAGTTATAAAATATAAACTAAACAAGTAGATTAAGTAGATCTATCAATCAAGAGTGTTGTATGCTTTTTTTTGTTTTTATTTTCTTGATCTAGATTCTAAAATCTAGGTCTAGATTTTATTTTAAATTAAAAAAAATTATGCCAAATCTAAACATTGTTGCTCCTATTTCCACTGATTTTTTAAAATATATAATGTGCCTTTCAAACATTTTGGAGGCTATTCATTCAGGGTTGGGTCCAATGGTTTGGCTGGGCAAGTCTTTAACTTTTATAAACTTTTAACTAGACTAGCTAGACCTAATCTAGATCTAATTTTTACATTATTATTAATAAATAATAAAATTAGGCCAGGCCCTAATTAAAAATTAAATTAATAATTTCAATAAGTAGGTAATAATTAATTTTTTAGCTAGCTGCCACAGCTGGGTTTTATGTTAGAGTGTTAGTAATACATTAACATACTAGTGACTTAAGTCTTAACTTAGTCTTATCTTAAGAGTAAGACTTAAGAAGACTTAAGGGGTCATCCATAAATGACGTCCTGCTTTTTTGACGATTTTTACCCCTCTCCTCCCCTCCATCACACATCGTTACAAAAAGCCAGATCCCCCCCCTTAAAATGGCCTAAAATGACATCACACCTCAGCCTACAACCCCCCCCTCAAAATTGAAGTTGAATTTTTTTTAAACATTGATATTTTTTTTTAAATCTTGTCTGAACTCTGTCAAAATGGAGTATTTTAATCAATTCCTATTAGGATTAGGCCTACAATTTATTAAAACAGTTTTCTAAAACACGAAATAACGTCTAAAATTCATTTTCTAACATTGCTTTTTTATAATGCAAAAGTGTGCCGTTGCAACATCTGAACCCCCCCCCCCCCCCTCCTCACAAAATTACGGACCCCCCTCCCCCCTATGAGTGTGATGTCATAATTTATGGATTATGGATGATCCCTAAGTGCCCTAAGACTGGCTAAGAGTAAGGAGACTTAAAACTTTTACAAAGTTTTTTAAGTTAAAAGTAAAAGAGTTAAAAGAGAGTTGAGTTTGAGTAGAGACAGTAGACTCAGTAGAGAGTCGACTAAGACCTGAGACGCATAAGGCCTAAGACTGGTCTGAGGCTAAGACTAAGTAAAGTTTAATTAAACTAAGAAGTTAAAGTTAAGACTAAGAGTAGTAAGTACTAGATCTAAGTAAAGTAGTAACTAAGAGTGAGCAGAGGCCTATCAAAAATATTAAAATAATTTAACCTACAGCAAGAGCTGATCAAAATAGAGGTTGCAAACACAAGTAAATGCATATTAGAGTTTCGCTTATAAAAGTTCATACTGGATTCTGACAATATTTCAAACAATTTTTTGGAATTCCTTAGACCACTAGTCACTAGACTTAGACTACGGATCTAGATCTACTGTCTCTACAGTAAACAATTTGTTTCCGTATTTGAAATCAATTTACCAACAACATTCAAACGACATTTATTGCTTAAAAATAATACTGTTTTGAAAAATCTCTAGAATCTAGCTATATTTTAAGTCGAAAATTTACAAGTATGAACTACGCAACGATTTTTTCAAAGATGGATTGATTTAGAGAGTTTATGTCTAAAGTTGCACGTAGTTTACGTTAGGCCTTTGCTTTCGTGCTTGTATAATTGATTTTAACAAACGGCCGTTACTCTGCTAGCCTAGTTGTCACATTGGTTTCTAAAAAGAAGAGCGTGTGTAGCGTAAGTTGACATTGGGTTAGCTAGAAGTAATTTTTAATAGAACAGCAATAGGGCCTAACTTATCTACCAAAATATCTAGATTCTAGTCTAGTTCATCACACATTGGCAAACTTGGGAATTTTTGGTGAAAAATCAAGGAAGCTTATTAAAAGAAGAAAAAGTAAGTAAAGTTAGTAAAGTATAAAAGACTATTAAAAGAAGATCTGGGGTTGAGGAGTAATGCGGTTATCCCGATTTTTTTGGACTTAGATCTAGAATCTAGATCTAGAATCTATATTGTGAATGGAGGCGAGCGAGTTGACGAGATTCCTTCTATAATGTTGTTGACATGGAGTAAAAACGTGCTTTTTAGATTTAGACCGTAAAAAAAAATAAAAAATAAAAACTTAGGCCCCTAAGCCTAAAATTAATTTAGAAATTTTATATTTTTAGAATAAATGCTATAAAAGTTGCAAATCCAGAGAACTTGAAAATAATTTGTTGAGTTTAAGGCTACATCTCTATTTATTTTCATCAAGCCTAAGTTTAAACCGGATGTTTCACTTTCGTAAGACAAATATTGATTGGCTGTACAGTAACTTAGTGATCGATAACTATTTGTTTACAAAACTTTGCAGATCAAGTTTTTAAATAACAATGCAAATTTAAAACCCCATGACCGAGTTTTCTATTTTTAGCTTACAATGTGTACAATAAAATCTATGCCGGCCTATCCAATAGCAGGATGCCATTGTTTATGTCGCCATTACACGTGAAAACCAAATAATTTTTGCTTTTTTTTTAAATTTTATTTAGTTACCGAAAATATTAAAAACATCAAATACGTCCAATCTTTAGTAAAGTCCAAAAATAACCAGAAAGACAGGATTTTATAACCATATTAATTGTAACTACGCCGTGCAAGATTTTTAAATTAATTTATGCACCTCTCAAATACCTTTGAGACTTTTCTCGCTCGTGTCCATTGTGGTTGATGCAATTTGTGCAGATGTTTTCCTTCACCTCTCATATGGCTACCCCTGCCCTTTTGGCTTTTAGTTTTACCTTTGGCGATGACCCCTATGAGGATGCCAGTCTGCATGGCCAGTCTCCACAAAGTTCAGTCTTGAGCCAGCAGCTCCCACATGCTGTTCTTTTGACTGTTGCCTTAACTCAGGATTTGGTCTCGTTAACACTTTACAATGAATTTACAGTTTAATTTACAGACACCTGTAATGAACTAATTTTAAAACCTAGGTCTACATGTTTGAGTTTATTAATTTTTTACAGATTTAGAAAATGTTTAGAGTGCAAAGGGCTGGCGGTGACGGTGAAGAAGAGAGGAGAAAAATGGAGGAAGAAACTAAACTAGCTCGATTGGTTACCTATAGGAATATAATAGCTTTTGGCATTTTCTGTGGTATAATCAGAGCAAGTAGGTTTAAACCTTTATCTTTATTTCTCAATAATAATCTTTTTAATGTTTTTCTTACCTTGCCATCTAAAGCTCAATTATTATTAAACATTTACTTTTAATGTACAACTATTTATGATTTAGAACTAGACTCTAAGTGCCTGTGAAGAATAAAAGGCATTCACTGTCCCAACATCTCCACTGATAGATTACTAAGAGAAATGCAAATAGAAGCCATTACAGAAATAAAAAAGATGGCGCTGGTTGGGTGCCGCACGTCTTGAGGATGAGTTCAGATGTTATTACAGTTACAGGAATAGCGCTTAGCTGGGCACCACAGGGGAGAAAAAAAAACAAGGCGGGCCAGTGAAGGCACACGGCAGAAAAACAACTGACAAAGGCATGACTATCTGGGGGAACTGCCAAGAAAATAGCCAGATACTGGCAAAAGTAAAGGGAGCTTTTTGTGGCGACCCCTCATATGTCTTGTGCACAGAAGGGAAAAGATGATGCTCAATAACGTGACATATTCTTTAATTTTTTTTTTTTTTTTTAAATTTCAGCCCCATGGGTCCTGAACAAGATGTAAGTTTCTTTGGATGTGAACATACTGAAGCTGCCAGTCCCCGTGTTTTGAAGTTGTTCCTGGCGCACTTTGCAAGAAAAAAAAACAATGATTGTAGATAACTTGGCATTTTAAAACGATTCTCTGTCTCTCAGTACTATTTCTTAGACTACAGCAAAAATGTTTTTAAAGTGATTAATTTTATACATAAGGTACATTTTGGTAATTTGATTATTTCACTGTAACTAACCATATAGTCATCAGATTTTTTTTTTAAGTTAATCATTAAATGAAGTTCATGAATATTTTATACAATGTGATAAATGATTAAGGTATCTGACCTTGTGACAAGGTAACATGACTTAACAGGAAGTTTGGCCTTGTACAAATAAACAAAAAAAAGCTCTCACAAATACACATTTTTTCCTTTCATTATTTGCTTATACTGGAATCTGTTTGTTGTCTTTGGCAATTAGTATTGTTTGTATTTGTATAGATTGTCAATGTTCTAGCTCGCATATTATTCTAGCAATGCAAATAAAAACAACAGTTCAACATAGTCTGGGCACAACATTTTAATATTTTTCATTATTTGAAAAGAACAAACTATATTCTGGTGAAACAAGATTAGCCTAACATGTTATTTTCAACTCTTTAGAAAATCAATGTTTTCATTTTTTTAATGCAATTATAAACTTTTCTATATTTAAAGTAAATAACAAAGATTGTTTATTAATCAAAGCACACAAATATCACTGTCCAATCAACATTTACACTAAAATGGTGTAAAAAAGTATACAATGTGGTCTTTACAGTGCTTGCTACTAAACACAAGGTAGATATTCTATTTAAATGTGTTTACATTTATGTAAAGCATCTCTGAGGCATACCTAGAAAAAAATAATTTAATGTAAATAAATTGGGTATAAACCACAAGAAAAGTGCAGGAGAGACAATATAGCACACAATAGAAGCAAACCAAAATAATATATTTCATAGGATATATATATTGAGACTATAGAGACAAATTTTGTAAGGCCTATTGTGCAGCAAACACCATAGCAAAGATGTGATCAAAGCAGTTGTGTCACATTTGATATAAAGTGGGGAACAGTGATAAATATGTATGCAATAGCACACAAGGAGTAACAAAACTATCAGTTAATCAGCACTTGATTCATTTGTTAAATTTCCTAACAGACAACCAATTTACCACGATTCATTTTTTTTAAAAAAAGATACCCGAACAAAAATCATAGGTGACTAATATACAAGATAAGTTTGAGAGATTCTTAAGTTTATGATCTATATATAATTTTAAAAATACTAAAATTGAGAAGCTTTGTAAAGATTTTTTGCAGCATATCAATCACAGAATTACCCTATTCAATGCTGTGTCCAATGTTTCGGGGGTATAATATCTGCATATCGTAAAAATTAAGCAGAAATTGTGAATAAAAATATATAAACATTCTAAAAGTGGTTTTCACTTTACTTTATAAAGAAAGATCTGCTTCCATCAGAAATATAGTCTTGAGGCCTCAAATGCAAAAAAAATATGTATGTACATAAAGTATCAATATGATAATAGACCACTCTAGCATTGACAGGCAAGTCTGTCTTTAAAAAATTAAAATGTCAGCAGTTCAAAGTCGCAAACAGTTTGAACAAATATATTAAATATGTCATTAAAAGATTTTGATATATAGCACCCTAAAGATTCAACATCAAATAAAATTATCATCAGCTTCATGCATATCCATCAACAGAAAATTAAAGTAACCTAGCAACCATCTGGTTTCTAATGTCAACAAAGGCTCTACATAAAAGTGAAATATGGAATAGTTTTTTTTTTTTACATCAACACGCACTAAAAGTAAAAAAACTGTACAATGGAAAAAAATGTACACAGCATAAACATTAAAATTTCTATGTACACATTTGTTTTTTAAAAAGTTAATGTCTTTTTTTAAAAAATGACATTCATTTACAAAAATTGATAAAAATTTGTAATGGCAAGCAAACATGTTATATTAGGTTTGAACAATATCAGAGATCAGATAAAAACTGACAACTTTTGATATTTGGGTATAACAGATATATTTAAAAATAAAGCTAGGAACACAATATATTGTTTACAGCAGGGGTCTCCAAACTACGGCCCGCGGGCCGGATGCGGCCCGCGGAGTCCTCTCATCCGGCCCGCGGAGACCTTTTTGTGCAACGGAAAAATCGTTTGTTGATGATGGATGAAAAACTTCGCCCAGAAAAATCAAAGACATGCCTGGAAGAAACTGGCCCCCGAACTGAAATTTGATAGTTAATGCGGCCCTCGGACTGAAAAGTTTGGAGACCCCTGGTTTACAGTATGGTCAAATAAACTGATAATGACCATCTGTCAACACTATGAACTTAAGTAATCTTGAACGAGGATAAATAATTATTTGTTTCAGAGAAAGAGTGGGGTAAAAAGGAGAACTTTCAAAGCACAGAAGGCTACATATTTTCCTTTAAACACACAACAGACCTTAAACCAGATTACACTTGTCTGTTATCAAACAATAGGCCAAACTGTCAAATCTGATAATTATTACAAGATTTCTTATGTGAAGTTTAAAAAGTGTAAACATTGGTGTTCTTAACAATATTCTATAATCTAATCTTTATTAAAAGTACACCCCTTCACAGGCTGGCTCAGAGGAGGAGTAGTCAGTTTTTTTAAAAAGTCTGGTTAGTTAAGGGTTAATGGAAAACACTGCTCATTGTGTTCATGAGGGTGCTATCGTAGCCCTGCTGTGCCAAGACTGATGCCTGATGCTCCATCATAGAAGACTGCTGTGTGACAGGACTGCCAGGCTTGATGGTAGTTGGAGGGGAATCTGAAAAACAAAACACCAATACTGTAGCAGTAGTTAAACACCAATATTGTAACAGTAGTAATAAATAGGATAACTGCAACTATCAAAAACAATCTATAATTTACCAAATCATCATAGGAAGTAATAATTAAACTTTTAAGAAGGCCTAATATTTTAATTTATAAAAATATATAACCTAATTAGGAGACACATAGATCATATTTTCCAGTTTGTGCCAAAGACAAATGGGGCAGATGAAGTAGAGTTCATCTGTTTAAACTACTTCTGAATACTGGGGATAGCGTGGTCAGCACTATGCCCAGCTGCCTTTGTTTCCCTGAGTCTGGTACCCATCAAAGCAGGGTGGACTCATGGGCATCATATGGACTTGAGCCTAGGATCCGAACTCAAGACTTTTGAGTTAACAGTCTAGTACTCTACCGCTATGCCATCCCAACATACACATACATACATAGATATAGACTTACCTGAGCAGATTTTTAACGGCTCAACTCTCATTGCAAGCACCCCGCTGTAGGACGATATGATGTTGTTGTTGCAAGCGTCTCCATATCTTTCTGCATGACTTTTCTGTGATGCAGGAACTAAAAAAACAAAGTCACAATGTAAGTTATTGTTTAGGCCTTGTATTTCAAGGAACAAAATTTATTTATTACAGTATGACATTCAAAACTAATCTGTACTTTATTCTCGTCATCACAGAAGATTGTAAATAGTAGTCACATTCAAATAAATGATGTACTCTGTAATGTAAACATGTGAGAACATTTTTTTTCTCTGCTCATCACAAATTAAATTAAGACAGGTACTTACCAAAACACCTGCGCTTCTGGATATGTGTAATGACATCTTCCTCATCATCAAATGACCTTTTCATTCCTCCAAAACATTTCCCTAACAAAGGCCCATCACTCTCAACAACTTGAGAACAATGCTCAGTCATTTCCTGTTCCCCCTCTTCCATAGCAGAGGAATCTGGTGCATCTCTGTTGGAAATCAGCTCACCATTCATAAAAATATTAGAGTCCGACATATCTTTCATTGTGTGGGAATTAAACATAGATGAGGAATGGAATATGTTGGGTGGGGAATGTGTCAAGCTTCCGTTGAGCTCAGAAATAGGCAGCGGCCATGAGTTGGAGCTGTTGAACTCTGCCTGTTCTAGCGCTCTCCTTAAAAGCTGTGCCAGCGCCGGGTGGTTAGACTGCTCCGCTACATCAGACGGGACAAGGCCTCTGTGGTTTTTCATGCTGGAGAGAACACAGAGAATCTTAATCAACAGGTAAATACACCATCTAGGTTTAATATACTTGAATGAGCAAGAGAAATAATTAATGGGAGACAACCAACAGTTGCTAACTGAAACAATTTCACACGTGAAAGTAAATGGCATGGCCAATTTAATCTTGCATAAATTAATTGTTAAAACTTCTGAAATAATGTAGTACTACAGATGTGACTAAAATACCAGAAAATTATAAATCAATTAACTAACATTAAAGAGCTGCTTCATGCATATTTAATTGATGTAGGTATTACTTTTCATTTAAATGTTAAATGCCAATGTGTCGCAGACACTATAAGCAGTTAGACCTCACTATTTAGAATCTTAATGTATCACAAGTTTAGATAATTAGAAACATACAATGGTGATTTTAAAGTAACAAAATAGAATTGTGTACTTTTAAAATGTAAATTGCTAGTCAGTATCAGTCAGTGATAAAATAACATTTTAAACCAAGTTGGCTACAGTTAAGAAAATTACTTCTAATAATATGTTATCAGCCACTTTATTTAAGCCTTTTATTTAAAGTTTAACACCCAGAAAGGTCTGGAGTTCAGATCTTGGTCCAGATCCAGGACTGTAGGACATCCCTGAGTACATCCAACTATGTTGGTTACCTGACTCACCATGGGGCAAGTAGTGGCAGATGGGCATAGTGCTGACAACACAGTCCCTTCATATGCCGAGGTCAAGAAACATGATAACTCTACTTCATCTGCCTATGGTTCTTTAGGTCTGAAAGGGGAGCTTTACTTTATTGTTCTAAGAAAGAAACTGAAAGTAAAATGCACTTAAATCAACTTACTCTAATGAAGCTCCATGGCTGACCAACAATGCCACACAGTCTGTGTTGCCAGCTTTGGCAGCCTTATGGAGAGGAGTCTCTCCCATAAAATCCTGGACAGGAAATAAAAATGTTTAGCATGATGATGATAGCTAACTAAATTTCCTTATAAAATAGATGTTAGTGTTTGGCTATGGCGTGATGGGGTAATTAATCAGATTGATTAATTATGATAGAACCAAGTCTAGAAGCATCTGTTGTTAATTGTGGCAAGCTGTAGACAGGTGTTAACAATATGTAGAAATAAAAATAGGATGACAAAGTTTCTATCACTTTTGAATATCACAAAGTGACACTTTAAACATTGAGTACAAAAGATATATATCCATTTCAGAAGAAATTCACCTGGCTTAACATAGTAAAAACTATAGAATAACCATAGATCCAGCCATAAATATTTATTGTGGCATTTATATATAACTGATTCAGCAGTTCAGGTGAGAACTAGTAATGAGTCCTTATTATATCACCATGGCTGATTGAAATGTCCATGACTCTCTAGTAAAAACAACTGTGTTCTTTAGTAAAGCTACAGAGGTCAACTAGAGAATAATAGAATAATTGATCCCATGAAACACCTAGCCCTAGCTGAATCTATCAATCATATTCCTTTAGTTAGACATCAGGGAACAGCGAATCACCTAGCTCTATTGCCCAACAATATGTTCCTTTAAATACCTGTTTCTTCCAACATTGTGAAACACCTAACTCTATTGCCCAACAGAATGTTCCTGTAGTAAATACCTGTTTCTGCCAACATTGTGAAACACCTAGCTATATTGTACAGCAGAATGTTCCTGTAGTAAATACCTGTTTCTGCCAACATTGTGAAACACCTAGCTCTATTGCCCAACAAAATGTTCCTGTAGTAAATATCTGTTTCTGCCAACATTGTAAAACACCAGCTCTATTGCCCAAGAGAATGTTCCTGTAGTAAATACCTGTTTCTGCCAACATTGTAAAACACCAGCTCTATTGCCCAAGAGAATGTTCCTGTAGTAAAAACCTGTTTCTGCCAACATAGTAAAACACCTAGCTCTATTGTCCAGCAGAACGAGAAGTAAATACCTGTTTGTTTCTGGCAGCACCACACTGCAGAAGGTACTTGAGACAGAGGACAGCGCCAGACTGTGCTGCTAGATGTAGAGGAGATGTGTGGGATCTGTGTGTGGGAATGTCCACACAACCACTGTGCTGTTTCACATGCAATTTCATCAAACAACTCAACTAGTGGGATGAAAAAATATGGCAAAAATAAATATTATGACCCCAAAGCAATTAATATAGTCATTTGGCATAATTTTTTATGTTTTACAGTGAGAGAGTACCGAGGAAGGAAGCAGAGGTATAACATTCATTCACTAAACCTAGCAATCAATGTTAGTAGGTCTTGGCCGGACAAGATAGCTTTGGGCCTAATAATTTAGGATAAGTAAATAACTACAATGTGATTCAACAAACACTGTAAGTGATTAAACTAAACTTTCAATCTAGTTCTATAAATATACACCACTTTAGACTCTGTGGTGGCAGTGTTAAGTTGCCACTTTGGACTTTAGCATATTGCAGTGTTAAGTTGATGCTATTTAAGTAAGGTCTTATAATCTTTTTTCCTTTTCTTTCGTTCCTTGCAGATCAAGTCAAGTCTTATACACATAGGCCGACCAATTTAGTATTTAGTAGTTTTTAGTGATAACTGACAGTTCAGTAGGTAGTCAGTTCTCGGGTGGAGATAAAGCCTGAGATGCCAAACAGACTTTAACAAGGCATTTTTATTTTCCTGTTTACAACTATATGCAGGGTAGGCTACCTTCTGGTAAAAAGTGCAGAAATGTCTGCGAAAACTTTCCAGAACCTGAATTCAAACACCCTTTTATTTTGATGGCAAGTGTTATTATCTGTAATGATCTGTAATCTGACATTTAATGTTTTTGCATTTGACCACTTTGTATTGTTGCCATTTTGCATTTTTTGCCTAAAACCCTCACCACTTAGCCGTGTTAGGCCACTCTTAGGCTAACTTAACTTGTTTAACTATCTCTATTATCAATTATCTAGTTAGTCTAGATTATGTTTAGATAAGAAGATCGACTTATTATTAGACATCAGATCCTAAATCTATCCAGTATTCAGATTTAAGTTTAAAATCATTAGATCTCTACTTTAAAAACTACTATGACTTAGTCTTTGTTGTTAATTTAAGTCAGAGATGCTGAGTTTTACTGAGTGTTACAAGTACAACCAGTGCCAGTGTGTTACTTACCTGTCCATAAAACGCGGCCCAGTGTGCTGGTGTCCAGCCGTTCAATGAATCTTCTTCAGAAATCAAAGCTCCAACACAAGCAGAAGATGCATCGCCGTTATTATTGTTATATAACAATGCACGACCAATAAGTGTGTCAAGCAGATGCCCGTCTCCGACATAACATGCGTAATGAAGAGGGGTCTGCATCAAAATTTGTTGACTTACTTCATCAAGCAGAAGTGGTGACTGCTTTTCGAAGTTCATTATTACAAAATAACTAACTCGAACTGAACGATTGGAGAATAATATCAAACGCTAAATCAGTCTATAGCTTAATGTTTAGCTAACTTTATTCAATCCAAATAGACTAAGCGTGACAACCACAATACCGGCTTCAAACTTCTTTGTTGTGTTTTGATTCTGGAGCATAAATACTAAATACCGAACTAACATTTGACACATGTGATATTCTAAGACGCAGATCTACAACATTAATAAAATTAAATGTAGTGAGATATATTTTATATAAGGTATTATTATAGATATATGATTCAGACGAATGTATACATTATAATCACACATAAAATTGTTGTTAAAGTCTGCATATTACTATGGCGCCACGTTTTTCGGCATATATCACATTTTACATCATATAACATTTTATTTAGTATTTTATTATCTGTTTCCTCACCAGATTTGATTAAGTCAGTTATTATAGTATCGAGTTACAACATAATGACAAACTATATATTTCTTAGAAATTAAATAAAATTTCCTAATGTGTTGCAATTTTAATTCCTACGCATTTCTGTGTATAGAAGGAAGGGTAGCGGATCCGGTCGTCAACCCTAGGGGTGGAGAAAAGGGTAGGAAAAATAAAAAGCTGTGTCAGAGTTAAGAGAATAGACATTCGCATTTTTGTACAGGTAGATTAACTATTTCCACATTAACTATATGGCAAAAAAATGTTATATGAAAATAATCAGTATAAAGCACACTTCTTTAAATTATTAAGATTGTATTATTAGAGTTTTTTAAAAAAGAATCTAGTAATGTTCAATATGCACGTACTTTTAAGAAATGCGGCAACTATATTTGATAGCAGACACGTCATGTTTTCATGAGCCAGCTCACATAATTTGAATTAGATCTAAATGCTATACATATCTACAAAATTAACCGGAGCCTGGTGTGGTTATCTCTTTTAAAATAATCTGCAACTATCTTTTAGGGGCTTTTTCGTCGAAAGCGTTATCAAATATAAATCTTTTACAAAACCAATTTTATTTTAATAACTATGTATAAATACAGCACTCATTTTGTCAATTTAATATCAGAAAACCACGTAGAGTATTTATGAATAGGCATGTTATGTTGTTAAAGTTTCGTGTTAAGATGGTGAATTTAAAACAATATATGAGAAGTACGTCCCCAAGATTATGGGATTTTCAACAAAATAAAATTTAAAGATAATTTATTACAATGTACTTTTTAAAAATATATTATTTACAGATTGTTCAATTTTATTTACGAAGCGACTGCTCGGAAAAAGGGAGATTTCGTAGTTTTTCGTCGTTTGTACAAAATTATTGGTATTTAGACAGCTCCGTTCACAACCATGTATGTCATAAATAAACAGGCCTAAACATTGACCTACTTTTCTTTAGGCCGGAAGATATTTTTGCCGCTTTACCTTAGCCTAGTATTTTTGTGCTATGACTGAGGTTGCCTTATTGGCTAATGTTTTCTAACTCTCTTTTTAGTTATCTTTTTTCATCTTTCAGAAAATATATAACATCTTTATACACAGTCGATCCAATGTCTAGAGTCTAGACAATCAAAGTGTAGCTGCGTTTATCATACAATAATTTTTTTTAAAAATCTTTCTTATAATATTCAGTTTTTAATAATTAAAAGCATAACATAAGCAAAATTTAATTAAAAAAAATAAAACACACCAAACAATCACAATACATTTATTCTACAACAAAAAAAACAAACTAATTTATTGATCTAAGAGCTTGATTTATAATAATTAGTATACAATCAATTCAATTAGACTGAACTGCATATGCTAGTGTTTTGTAACGCTAATCTTTGGCGACGAAATAAATATGACCTGACGATATTTTATTTTAAATTATTTATAGGCTTATTGTCTGAGTTTGGTTATAACATACGAAGGCATATAATTCGTGCCTGACGCATGTCATTACACGTGTTTATTGAACCATATACTACACAAAAACAGGGAAGTATTACTTGCTACACAGGGCGACGTGTTTGTATCAATCTAAAGGCTAAAAATATTAAATTATGTTTATTGTGGAAAACGTTTTAAAATTATTTGACCGAGTTTCGATTAATATACTTGGCTATCTTAATTTATGCCCGCGTCAGTGCTGTTAGTGCAAGGTTTTGTTTATAAGCACTTTTAATTTTACCTTCACACTAAAAAAAAAAAACAACACAGCAGCAACATCTAGATCTAGATCTATTATTATTGACTGCTTGGAACTTCTTGTTTTGCAGTTTTTTTATTTAACGTATGAGCTGATTTTAAATTAAATAAAACTTTTTATTCTGTTGTTATTGATTGTTTCTCACAAAACAAAAATCTAACATTCTTTTATTTCCTAACCAAATCTAAAAAAATAAATTAATTAATTAATGAGAAATAATGAATTTCAAATAGTTCACTTAAAGGGGAGGTAATATTGTCTTCTTAAAAAGTTACTCATTCGGATCTGGAGGTGTTTAAGGCAGATGAAGTAGAGTTTACCTATAGTGTACTCTCGGTAGTTCTGGGGATAGTGTGGTCAACCACCTTTAATTACTCTCACTAAAGTGATTCTGTTAGCCATTTGAATTGGATGAGCTCAGGGACATCCTACAGACATTTATATAATATAAGGTTATTTATATATAGCAGTCAATATAAACGACTTAAAGTGACTGTCATTTTGGGCGTAGACCCCTATTTGTGTGTGTTGGGGGGGGGGCGTCTTGCCAGAAATTAGTTTTGTCTGAAAGAACTCAATGCTGTACCTAGTGATGGGAAATGGGTGGGAGTGGACTCATTGACGTCGTTTTATTAATCTCACTGGGAAATAATTTGAATTAATATTTTTTTAAAGCTTTTAACAAATGTATATTTTTCTAGGCGAGAGAGCAGGGGAGTTTACATTTCTGCGTCTGGATTTTGTGACTTACTGACGCATGTGTGGGGAGGATGGGGTACACGACGAGCGGAGTCACACGTGATGGAGGATGCGTCAAAAAGGCAGGCGGAGACAGCTACGGAATGACGCACGTTTGGAACACATGTCCGCGTGTTTGGCTCTGTGTGGTGTAACTCGAGACTTTCGGGTTTGTAGTCATGGGCTCTATCAACCGACCCGTCGTTTCATATGGCCTTGTAGAACAAAGATTTGAACTGACTATTGTTAAATCATGCCAGGCTCAGGTAGAGGAGCAGAGGTGGATGATGGCAGAGAGTGGCAAGTTTAGATAATGGCAGATACAGATAGTGGCAGGATAAGACAGTGACGAGTAGTGTGGCAGGTGTAGACACAAGCAGGCCGTATTTCCGTATTTCTTTCAGGTATCTCTTCGGAGGGGTTCACACCCCCCCCCCCCCGAAGAAAGTCTACCCCCCCCCCAAACGAAATGGAATTTATATAGAAAATATATACTTTTACCAGTGTCCGCCTCCCGTTAAATTTATTCCGTCCGTCCCCCCCCCCCCCCTTTCCGGAGAAAAAATCTGGAAGAAACACTGCAGGCAGGTAGTGGCGCAGGTGTAAATAGTTACAGGTATATACAGGTATAGATAGTGGCAGGTTTAGACATTGGCCCGTCAAATGTGTAGATAGTGCTTAATTGGGTGCAGTGGCGTAGGCAGGGGGGGGGGGGTTAGGGGGATCATACCCCCCCATAGACCCCTCGGTATATATATATAAAAAGTATGTTGAGGGGGGGGGGTGCAAATCGAAAATTTGAGGGGGGGGGTACAAATCGAAAGTTTGAGGGGGGGGGGGGTGCAAATCGAAAGTTTAAGGGGGGTGGGGGGTGGTGCAAATCGAAAGTTTGAGAGGGGGGGTGCAAATCGAAAGTTTGAGGAGGGGGTGCAAATCGAAAGTTTGTCCCCGGGTAAGAATTGGAACCCCCCACCTTGAGACGATCCTGGCTACGCCACTGATTGGGTGGCATTATCATTCCCTCCTCCCTCCCTTTAATCAAATGTTTCAAAGTAACTAGAAGTCATAAGTGTTGGTTGTTCAAGGGAGAAAAACCTTGTATTTTTTATTACAGTCAGGAGTTTGTTGAGTTATCTCGCTTAAAAAAATAAATTCCAATGTGTCGTGGAAGAAAATTATGATCGATGGCTAATTGACTGGCGGTCACGTGACAAGTTCATCTGACACACTAACCGGACTGACAGATTAACAGTCGTCCGTCATGCTAGAGTGGTGGAATCTTGCAATAAATTTTTAACTAACTTAACTAGGTCTATTTCTGTCAGACTGGTAACAAACGTCTATTCCCGATTACAAGGCTTTTAAGTATAAAAATTCAGTCAACATTAGGCATAAGGAGTTACTTTCACGGGAACATTTTCAGTTTCTCATCTAACTCTCTAAATCATCATCATCATCATCATCATCATCATCATCATCATCATCATCATCATCATCATCATTATCATCATCATCATTTTCATTATCATCTTCACCACCACCTCCATCATCATCAGCATCTTTATCATCATCATCATCAGCAGCATCATTACCAACATCCTCATCAGCAGCATCATCATCATCATCATCATTACCATCATCATCATCATCATCATCATCATCATCATCATCAGCAGCAGCATCATTATCATCATCATCATCATCACCACCACCATCATCATCAGCATCTTTATCATCATCATCATTACCATCATAATCATCAGCAGCATCATTACCATCATCATCATCAGCAGCATCATTATCATCATCATCATCATCAGAATCATTATCATCATCATCATCACCACCACCATCATCAGCTGCATCATTATCATCATCATCACCATCATCATTATCTTTATCATCATCATCATTACCATTTATGTGGACCCTTGTGTGTTATAGGGATGCAAGCAGATATTGCCTGAACTCGATTTTCTGAGATTTCTTCAAGTTGGGTTCCCTCTGCTTCCGCTTCCTTGACAGCTGATCTTTTCCAGAATGTTCTTGGTCTACCTACTTTCCTTTTTCCCTGAAGTTTCAAGTCTTGAGCCTGTCTGGTGATGTTGCTAGTTGGTTTGCGCAAGGTGTACAATCCATCCCCATTTGGGTTTTTAAAATTCTTTGCCAATAGGATCTTGTCCAGTTATTCTCCACAGTTCGGTATTTGTA